AAATACAAAGCATTACCTGGAAATAATGCCTCTTCCAGGATACAATTACTCCGAAGAGTATCAGAAACAGTGATAGATAAGTGACGCTAAGTCCAGCGGCCACTGCATCAATCCAAATATGGCTGTAGCCATATTAAAGATCAAATTTAAACAACATATATACAGATCAGAAGCAAACACAAAAACTTCAATATAAGTACAAAATATAGAAAGAATAACAACATACAATGATAAAATCTCAAATTGGAATCAAATAAATTACCAAAAATGTCAACAGAAAAAGTCCGTCATGTCATAACAAAAATATGTAAACATGGAGGGATTTTCCAAAAAACAAAACATTCAAAAAAGGATTCTACATCTATTGGTAATTCAAGGTCCCAAATTTCTATACCAAGAACGAAACTCCAAAGTAGATACCAAAGTTTATTCCAAATCACAAATTCCACCAAAATAATTTATTACAAATAGACGACCAATGTCGTTCTAACAACAATAATTATAATAATTACAATTACCTTCTAATTTATTATCTCTTGGAGCAAAAAACTGCAACGAACAACAAAGAGAAACGGGAGTCCAATATGTCCGCAAATAATAATTCAAACAAGTTCATAAGTTAAGTAAAACAAATATACCCAAAAAACAGTGAAATTAATGATATTTATACATGAAGGTTTTGATCAGCAAAATGTCTTCGTTTCTCCCGTAACATGAATTACGAATAGATCGACAACCGTGCTTCAAGGGATCAAAGGGCAAAAAACTGGACGTATCAGTCAGCCCTGAAAAATCGATGCAAATTAGAGTATTCGATAGCGTAGGATAATGTCCCGTGTCCTAACTAATATTTCACGAATCCTAGTGAGAGATTCATTCAAACCTACACGAGCATAAACAATGTATATCAAGAAGATCAGTAGAGGTTACAAAACCGCAGCTGTGACACATTCTCTATTCTAATGGCGTGATGCAGATGTAAAATTGCTGGAACAAAACAACACCAACGATATAATATTCTCTGACACCCAGAAAGCTTTCGACACAGTTCTACACGTAATTCTATTACCCAAGGTTGCAAAAATGGGCTACGTCTTTCCGTTTCTATCTTGGCTGGAAAACTACCTAGAAGAGACCATATAAAAACGTACCGATAAACGAATTATCATCCGCCCTCGACCGTAGCTGCTACCATGACATGGTGGTCGGGCTTGTTCTGTCAAGACCAGTCAGTTGAGCTCTATCGGCTGGAACATATATTCCCGAAGGTTCTACAATGCCAGGCAGGTCGATTGGAGAACGACGAGACTAAAGGCAACTACTCAAGGTCTGAGGGTAAAGTCGTACTGCTCACTGCAGAGGGCTGTGACAGCAATAAGGTGTTTCCCTCGGACAACCAGCATCTACAGCGATGCTGCCTTCTCACAAAGAAGGAAGGGTTAGAAAAGGTCGACCCTAAAAATGACACACCTCATCCAACCTCAAGGATTTCCGTCTCCGGCGGTAATGGTGTCCACTAAGGGCTTTTAAGAGAGGATCTAGTACTCTAAAAACTTCTCATTAAAAGGTCGTGCGTGACCGACCTCAAGCAGTTGTCCCCTGGGCTCTGCGGTCAGGTCTCTAAGACCAACACTAATCTATCTTCCTTTTCAGGTCCCTCAAGAAACAACCTTCCACGGTGTGGGCAGCTGGGAAGTGTTAACCACCCTCATACGCGTAACGTCACGCGAGACAAAATTGGACAAAATCAAGTCCTTGCTATGCCCCCTAATTTCTCTCTTATCTCCACGACAAACTCTTCTCGAATTCCTTTATCTTACTGCACAGCTAATGCAAATGATGCGAGTTCACGAAAATTTATTCCTGGCCTCCTGAAACCCCGCTCTAGACTACATGTTGGAGGATTTAATGTACGGACATTGTGTCAAATAGGGAAACAGGATCCCTAAGACATTAAAATCTCGTGTCATCGATGTACGCTGCGTCTCCGAAACGCGCATACAGGATCCTAGTAAAACCATTAATCTGATTTCTCCGTGTCAAAATAAAGAAGCAGCGCGATTTACTCTACATGTATCCGGTAGTCCTGATGCTGCTTCCCGAAGTCTTGCTGGTGTAGGTATAGCATTGCGTCGTAGGGCAGAACTAGCTCTCCTAGACTGGATTCCAGTAGATAGTCGCTAGTGCGCTGTCCGACTGGATGGGACAGTAAGGACTCGGAAAGATAAAGAAACCCGTGTTGCCTCTTCGTCATATCTGCCTACTGTCCCACTGTCTGCAGTTCAGACGAGGTGAAAGGTGAGTTTTACTGAGAGCTTTCGAACCTGCTCCAAGAAGATACGCGCTCTAATATAGTAATGATGTCTGGTGACTTCAATGCTCAAGTAGGTAGACTAAGTGAAAATGAAAGAAACCTAGGTGGATGTAATGGTGTCGCGGCTCAGAGAACGGACAATGGCGACCTCTGTTGCAACTGTGCTCAGATAAATGCCTATTCCTGGCAAAAGCTAACTTTAGGAAAAAAGAAAAACATCTGTTGACCTGGCGACCCCCATATTCGTCCCAAAGTTGGACCCAACTAGATCACATCACCATCGGCCACGGATGGAGGGGTTCGATAGAGGACTGTCGCTCGTTCGTGGGAATACGTTCAGGTTCAGATCAGGCCCTAGTGTGAGTGCGTATTTGTTTGAGGCTTACTGGGCGTAGGAAAGACACCGCAAGGAAACCTCTTAGGGTTCTACTTAATGATAATAAAGCAAAGAATATATTTCAGGAAGAACTAGAAAATCAGTTAAGCTACCATGTAAGCGATTCCCATCCGCAGTCAGGTTGGAATGATATCAAAAAGGCTGTGGAAACGGCAGTGACATCAGCTAGCTAGTTAAACCATAAGGCTAGAATGAAGCCGTGGATCTCAGTAGCATCCACCGAACTGATGGATGCTCGAAAACTCATCCCACATGATGAAGAACGGAGCCAGCGTAAGCGCAGGCCAACAGTGGTGGATGGCGAAAGCGAGAGATGGAAAAGGCAGCGGTGATACGCAACAGTAGGCGACTATTTAAACCCATCAAGGAAGCTTATATTAGGAAAAGGATGGTCTCATTATTTATTCTCAGTCCAGGAGATTGGACCGATGGGCAGAACACTTTAGGGATCAGTTCAAATGGCCTGCAGCCACACTTCCGTTGCCCACGGTTCCGTCATTCTGATTGGCAAATCGACGTTAGTCCTCCTAGTCTTCATGAAGTCGATAAAGCTACAGGAAATCTATAGCGAGGGCGAGCAGCGGGTCCTGATAGATTGATCGCTGAGATTTTTAAGGACGGTGGTCCAGTTTTAGCAGCTAGATTGAACGAGATCTTAGGTATAATCTAGGAACTGGACGTAAACGCATCCGATTGGTCTCAATCACTGATTGTCCCAATCTATAAGAAAGGACAAAAGTCTTCTTGTGACAATCACAGGGGAATAAGTCTAACTAATATAGCATCTAAAATATTGGCCTCAATAATGCTTCGACGCTTTACGAAAGCTCGTGAAGAGCAGACCAGAGAAAACCAGGCTGGTTTTCGACCTGGACGTGGCTGTATAGACCACATCTTCACACTACGACAGGTCCTGGAACACAGACATACATTTAGGCGTCCTACAATAGTGGTTTTCCTGGACCTAAAGGCGGCATTCAAATCAGTGGATCGGGTGGTTCTGTGGCAGTATCTGTCATTAAAAGTTGTACCAAAGAAGTACATTAACCTTATACAAGCTCTCTATTCGTAGGTTACTAGTATTTGATCATGGATGTCTTAGAAGCATTGCTCGTATATCCTGGGACATCCGAGTAAGCAATGCTGTCATTAGGAAATGGGTGCTAGGTAAGGATGTCAGATCAATAGGTAAGATATTGAAACTTCATCAGTTGAAGTGGTTGGGACATGTGATATAAATGCCTAACCACCTACTACCTAGTCGAACTATATTTTGCGGTGTAGGAATTAGTTGGACGAAAGCTGGGGGTGGCCAGACCAAAACGCAGCGCAAATGCATGACGTCACTGACGAGTGGACTGAGTCATGCCGGTAGGTGTCGACTATCTGGTTGGGGTCCGCAAGATGATAATAATTTACGGTTAGAGACTCTGAATGACATGGCTCAAAACCGTTCACAGGTGTATTCATTCTCTGTGTTCTCTCAAACACTAAACTTTTTAATTCTTCATCACTTTGTCTTTATCCTTCTAAGTCCATTTCACTAGATTCTACTTCTTGACTAATATCTTTTAATCCTAACCTCTCCGACTAGTGCTAATGTCTTTAATACCTCTACTACTATTCGGTTTGAGTTGACAGTAGCATCTCTGTGCTGATTAGGTATGGCAACATGAACTGATGTATGTACGTACGAAGTTCTAGGTTGCTAGTGACAGATTGATTATCATCTGCCACTTGGATCAGCTATGCCTGATGCTCATCTGGAACTTGTTTGTTGTTCTGACCATCCCTTTCCCACATCAATTACTTGTTCCATCCCGCTAATCATTTCACTTACAAATATTTGGAACGTTACTGAAGCAATATGTACCGAGCCCATAGAAATCAATTGGCTTATTCTATTCTGTGAAACAAATATTGGGTTTGTTGGATCTCCATTTCTTCTCTCTTCTTCACAGCTTAATTAATTCTCAAACCACTTCATTAGCATTATAAATTTCTTTCGTCATTCTTTACACTGAAGCCTACCTGTCTCCGACATGGTATCGTGATAGATTCAACTATCCAGAAACCCTACTGCCTGGGATCATTGTACTCACTCAAATTATTGGACATATAAATTAGTTCAGTCGTTTGGTTAAAATAACATCTATTGGAAATTATGAAATACCTGGATCTGTACTGAAACAATGAGAAAAAACCAATAAGTCTGAAAAATGTTTGGTAGAATATATTGAATAGTGGATATTGGACGTGGAAATTTAATTACGTTGCTAATGTAAATTGTTCAGAAGCATGTTGGAATTCTCGTGGGACAAAATTGCCAAATTAAGTGAATCTGACATAGATATCGACAATGCAGACTATTATTGCGAATTGATTCTAGACGTATGCACAAATTGTATCTATTTTATTGTTACTTTAGGCTAATGTTGAGGACTGGAATGACAATGATCGACTTAAGCATGTTTTCCAAATTACTCAGACATTACTAAACTTAAAATGGGAACAATGGAAGTTATCAGAAGCAAGCTTCGTGGACAAAAATGCAGAAATAAATATCCTGAAAGATCAAATAAGGGAATTAGAACATGAAAACACAGATTTGCAAAAAGCAGTTTCTGCCTCTGGTATTGATAGAGTAAGCATCTGTGAGACGAGGAAACTTGAGTTCAAAGTTGTCAAACTGCAATCTGAACTAGAATCTTTAAGGATAGCTAAAGATACTTCATTTAAGGAGAAGGAACAACTTTTAAATGACAAAGATGATCTCGAAAGGAAAGTGGATCTGATTTCTAAGGAAAACAAAGATCTACTGGAGCGTTGTGAGTATCTACGCTTACAAATACAGGATCGGCCCAGTTTGTTTGGCAAAAGTAATGAAGAGGCTAATTACAGGAAGGAAATCTCCTCCTTACGTGCAACAATTAGGGTTCAGAAAGCTGAAATCGATGTAAGGAGCATAGTTTCTTAATTATTTGATTAGGGGTTAGAAGACGAAAAACAAAACTTATGGAACGATGTCAACCGTTTGGAGAATAATCTACGACAAGCTAGCATAGAAATCGATCGCGCCACAGATGACTACGTGAGAATGAAAGAAGCCCTAACAGAAGCTGACAAGAGTCACGCAGAAAAGTCTGCTGAGTGTAATATGTTGCGCACTCAGTTAGCCAATCTTTCCGAAAAAATTGGGCATCCCGAAGAAACAAACAATTTGATCCTAAGTATTGTTGAACAGAAGATCGAGGAATGGAAAGAGGTATTAAAATTCATTACTCCGTCATTTTTAGATCCTGTCGGACAAAGATGTGGAAATAGTTAAACTTAATGGACGGATTAAGGAATTATCCCAGGAATTACGGGAACTTAAAGCTGATTCTGATAAAACCAGTGTACAAGCCTTAATGAAGTCCATAAAGGATCGTGATGTTCAAGTAACCGATATGACTGCCACTTTTTTGAAGATATTTATGCGTGTTCTAACTTTGCCTGTGATTACACTCTAGTTAGGATATTTTGCAATAATATTCTTACATGATTTGTTTGTGTATATATTTACTCTTTTTAGAGAACATGCAAAATCTTGAGGTAAATAGCCACGTTTTACGTCCTATGTTCACTTACTTAAGTTTGATGAGCACTAACGTCTACGCTATCAGCTAATCTGTTAGTGTAACAATCATTTAGATATGATGATTTGTTTAAAATGAAAACCTTGAACGTTTTTAAGCGATAAAATATCAAGCCTCTAAAATACTGTACTTAGATGTCTAATAATTATTGAATCACTTAAAATGATACAGTATAGTTACAAATGAAATGTAAACCAATGAAAGAACAGGTTGAAAGTAAGAAAAATAGGCTTATTCAGAATAGAACTTCGAAAGTGCAACACTTCATCGGAAATGTAAACTTCTAAGCCATTCTTTTCCTAACTTGTAACATTTTGTTAAATGAAATTGCCAAGTTTCAAACTTAGAGTCAGAAGTCATCCGTGTTACCCACTGAGGTGTGTCGGTGCGTCTAAACACCTTTACTTAAATCTGCATTGTGCTCTTGATTAATGGTTAGAGACACAGGGTGAAATAGACGAAGATTGCAAACAGTAAAACAGTTGCAACTATCAGTTATACTCCCTCAAAGTTCCAGTCACGTATCATCTCTATTTTTTCCATTCACTTGTTCAATTTATCATTAAATATATTTTAAATTGTAAATTCTCTTTGTGATTTTTAACTCTCTTTGACCTCTTGTCTTGTTAGCATTCATCCTTGCTATCGTACATATTTTAGTGTAAGTTTCACCTTTTATTTCAGATATATCGACCAGAGACAACAGATCCTATTACTTACGTCTACTTATTTCCTTTTAGAGGGTATCTTAAAACATTTTTACCACAAAGACAATAGACTTCATGTTCGGATCAGCCTTACCATGATTAGGTATGTAATCAAACAAACGACAGCAAAAGTTGGGAATAATAAAATCATACAATCTGCGTTCACAGTTATACTGAGTGCACGATAAACTTTCAAATAAAATAATCAAAATTGAGATTGGTGTTCTATGGACCTTCGTCACATCGAATTTTTCAGTTTTATATTTGTTATAACATGAACGTAAGATAGTTTTAGTTTAATTCTATAAAGCTCCAGAAAATTTACCAGAAAGTACACCTAAATCCCAAAATTTTGTTCATCGGCTACGAACGTTCATCAGGTATACGCAAAATCAAATCTCTGAAGTTCATATGTTGTAGCCCGTTTATACGTATCCACATGTTGCTTATTAATCTGGGTAAGGAGATATTCAATTACCCGCATAAACTAATTCCAGGGACACCTGTTTAAAAGGTGTTAGCACATTATTCGTTCTCATAGGAAAATACTTAGTTATTCAAATCAAACATTATTTACAGCCCAGTGTCATAAGATATATATGTTCTTTATTACCAACAGATAAATTCTCTCAAAAAACAACTCACCGATGCCACAAGTGAGGTTGAAAAAAGCACAACCCTTCTGAATGAACTCGCAAAACAAGCCAATGAGAATGAATTTCATTCAAACAGTCACAAAGCGGAACGTATTGTTGCTCTTAGAAAACAACTTCAAGAAAAAGAGAACCTTAATATAGAACTGAAGAAAAGATTGGAGCTTGTAGGTTATAAAAATATTTTTTGTAAACCTACTTGTAAATACTTTCATACTTCTATTTGTTGTTTTCAAATCAAACCAGGTTGTTTCGTATAATAAGAAACTCTACTTCATTTGATAAGGAACCTCTACACTAATCATATGTGAATGACGCTGTAAAGTCTTTTCTCAGTAAACTTCATACATCACCGACAATATCATATTAGTTCAGAGTATAAAGTTATCCGAATAATACTATTCGATCGCTATTACAGTTAAGTTGGACAAAAAGCATAAACGTCTTAGTCTCATTTATTTTAGTTTGAATTTTTCAAAGATCACTTTGTCTTAGAAGAACTCTTAGTTTAAAATCTTTTCATCACCTAGTTGTTACTTGTGCCTGTTTATGCTTAATCTCCAAAAATGCAGATCGGTTAAACGGATGTGCTAAATTTAAACTTAAAGCACACTGAAGTTGGTAAAGTACAATCCTTGTCGAATAACCAAAGATAAATAGTTATAACTTTTACCATTAAATTTCCATCATTGGTGTATATTTTACAATGTAACTATGTCAAAACTCGAAAATTAGTGTCGACTAAATTGGATGGTAGTTATTTTAGGCTCACTTTTAATGAAGGATGTGCATAGCAATAGGTGTAGTCGGCACAATAAAGCGATAAGATGCAAGTATTTCTAGTAAACAATTTCTTGCCAAGATTTTGACAATGTTTCCTGTTATGTATATGCATCTGAGTCTATCTGTTCCAAATTCAATTTCGAGGTATATTCAGTTCACTAGAGCAATGGGCTGAAATGCTCTTCTTACTGTTAGCTATGTTTAGAAGGAACTTAAAGGATTTCCATACCAAAAAAAATTAATTAATCTTATATTTTTGCCAGTTGGTCATAATGTTAAATTACTTAATAGAGTAGTCTATTGCATTTTTTCTCTTGAATAATTTATTCAAGATGTATTAACATATGGAAATATAATCAACTAGACAGGTTAATGATTATGCTCCAATATTTCTCGACGTTTCTCCTTCTATTTTTTGTGCGAAGCTATCGCCCGGTGTTATACAACACTGCATTTAGGCAAACACTTAATTTGAATGCAATCAGCCAATTACTTTTAAACGATTTTTCGGCTTATCTTAATTTCAAACTCAATAAGCTAATCTGTTCTTTGTATGCACAGGCTGAAGAAGCTACTCAATCTCAAGCCAATGAGATAAGTATTTTAGAAAAACAATTAAAACGTTACGAGGAAGGAGAGTATGGTTTATCAGAAGCTATTACTGAATTGAAAGCTACTCGATTACAACTAAATTCAAAAGAAAGACAATTGGAGGAAATTTGTCATTTAACAAGTCAAGCTGAATCATCTCTTAATGAAATAAGTGTAGAAAATGAACACTTAAGAACTAAACTAGGAATTCCTCTGAATGAAAAAATTGATTTGAATGGCTATCGCCGGCAAAAACGAGCCGAACTTGAAGAAGATCGTGCCGTAAATATAATTTTGCAGAAAGAAGTATGTAAATATTTTCTATGCATTCGCCAAACTTAAACAGATTTATGTTTTTATTGCTTTGACTTCGCTTTATCAGCTTCATACAGAAAATTGAAATGAAGTTGTTTTCATTTTACCTTTTCACAGTTAGGCGACCATCTGACTGTAAAAGGTTCTAAATATACTGAGCATTTATTTTGTAACAATTTCCTGATCTGATACGATACATGTTCTGATGATGTGGTTCCTAACTTAATATTACTTTGAAATAGCTAAAGAATGGCATATATATATATATATATATATATATATATATATATATATATATATTGCTCACTTTAGATATATTTGTTAATTATGCTTTCTACACATTCTGATGTAAGTATTTCTAACTTTTGTTTTAATGCATACAATTTTATAGGAGAAAGGTTTAATACGTCACGACAGCTTGAAAATTTACAGAGTTTGCAAATTATGTATTAGATTGATCGGTCGACTAATCTGTACGTGACATCTTCAAAGACATGTGGAAAGAAACCAAAACGACAGAATTCACTATATGACACATAATTGTCAGTTGACGAGCAAGAAAAATGATGACATCAGTGATGATACTCATTACTCTTTTAAGAAAATAAACCCTAATTTTAATAGTTTTAATCGAAAAAGTTGGTTTGTGGACTGATTTGCTCATTAATTTTGAGTTTGCGTATGATTGACCATTAATGACTGTTGTTTACCAAGTGTGTAAGTAAGTAACATAGCAGTGCATGAAACTGAATGAGTCCGTAATATTTTGGGCATTGAGTATATTATAATACCTAACAAAAAAGTCTTGAAAATGAATTTACAATCCACATGTTCAAAGAGTATTCAATATGCTTAAATGTTTGCTAATTTGAATGTGCATAAATAGATCGAAAAACTAGAAGATGAAAGGTTGGAGCTAAAACGAAAACTACGAACCCTTGCACGTCAATTGGGCCAACAGTATGGTTCAGCAGATTTGCACGTAGATGGAGTACTCCTGGGTAATTTGGCCCAAGGTAAGCAGTGAACAGTCAGAACTTAGAATTTTTGTATAATGAATTAACTAACTACTCAACGATCATATGTTTACTATAGACTAAATATTTATATCCATATTCAATCGTACCTGCCTTTACAATAAATTAGCCACTAGGTAAGAAAGCGTTCTTCATAGAACAGCGTGAATTTTATTCACCATACAGTTGTAAGGCGTCAAAAAATAAGTAAGATAATCCCATTGTTATGAAGAAACGATCGACTTCAAGAAATTAAAGAAGTGAGTTGGTTAGGAACAGAAAATAATATACATATATCCCACAATAAATGGATAATCATAAATGAAGTAACCAATGGTCATTTATTTCATTTGTATTGAGAAATAAATTAGGTTCTTTGACAGTGGAGTTGTTACTATCCTATTGGTTCAATGACCTGAAATATGATTATACAGAAAGTTGGCTCTTTCCCAGTATACAAAATCGAACGATGTATTTGGTTATTGTAAATCAAAAAACATTTTAGTGTACTATGAGAGACTCTAATACGTAGCACAACTCAAAACACTGTGACATACAACCCAGAAATGAATCGGATTTATTAAAAATTTAAATTTCATCCTGTCAATCGTTATAAGTGAATTTAAGTACTGGGTGAAACATGTGTATTATGATGGTTGAAATTCAACAACTGTATATCCCCTCAGTGATTTGAATAATTTAAGATCACTTACTTTAATTTTCCATTAAGTTCTCTTATTTACTGTTAACACTGCTAGCTTGGTCTATAGATTCTGTTAACCAGTAATGATTAAACAAAATGAATTTGATAGACATATTATTGTAGTGGGAATCATTTGTGTCTATATAGTGAGGGTTATGTTATTTGTTAGTGCATATTAATTGCATAACTGTTGAAAGTATACTCAAATAAACAGCGTATCACGTTTTTACGTGAAGTGTCAGAATTACTTGTGCAAGATTGTAGATGTGAGGTTAATTTAATTTATACCCAAATATCTGAAACTCAACGAACATTTTTTGTCTGCAGTTAATGAGGAAGCTGTATCGGTCCAGTCAGCAAGAACAGTTTCTGCGCCTCAATCCAGTCAGAAAACTAGACGTTCTCCATCAAAAGACGAATTAACCGACCTTCCAGAAGTATGGAAAGCAAGGGTACGTGTATTCGTATTCCTAAAATGTTTCCAATTCATGTTTCCGACAGTGCTGATATTGATATTTTTGCCATACCAAAAGTGAGCTAAGGGTGTAATCATGAAACATTCGATCTAGATCTGAAGATTTTATGTTCACTACAAGCCCTATAATCACTCTATTTTGTTTCCTATGAATTCACAGATATCCATAATTCTAATATTCTTAATTTAACAGATCAATTATGATAGAAAAGTACATGCATGAGCATTTTTTCCTGCTGATAACTCGATAAATCCTGAATAAGAATATTCTTAATGAAAGAAGATTTATAGAACCTCTAAGTGAGCTGACTAATGGGATTGAATATTTAACGTTGTTTTGAAGATTCAGTTATAAGACTTAAACATACATGATAAGTCTATGAATAAGTACTTCATTTCTAAAACTACACGTCATGTTACTTGAAACAGTGCAGTTTAATAATGTCTGTGACGAACATTAGAGCTTATTTCTAAAGGTAGCTATGGTTATCCGAGTTAACCTAATTTCCCCTGAAAATATTGAATCTTGTAACTCAGTATTGCGAACACAGTGTAATCAGTAAATCGATAAAATGACAAATGTCCGTCAGCTATTTGAAGTAGAATTAAATCTTTATTGTACTTTTATTTATCAGTAACCTTCGAAAAAACATCAAGGATTCATTGTACATCAGTCACTTTGTACAATAATTGAAATTGTTTCTGCACGTTGAACAGGAATGGTCTATGGACTAATATTCTGAAAAAAAATAAGAGAAATGACTTACTGAGAGACATTAAATCAACACATAAGTAGAATTCTAAATTCTACAAACTAACAAATATTTCGAAAAACTGTTGTTAGTAAAAGTGATGAAAGAAACTATCACTATCCTCTAAATATGTATATTATAAATGTTTCATATGTTTCTCTTTTAAAGACATGAATAAATAATCTATTTCAGTTCAATAATATATGTTCACGCTTCAATTCTAGTACATCACTTAAAGTATCTTTGTCAAGTTTCATTTGTCCTTCATCGTTCGCGATTGCTGTAATTCTTCACCTTTTTTTCCTGTACTTTTCAATGAAACAAAAATCAGTTTAAAGTACTTGATGAAGAATTAATTCAAGCGACGCATCAAATAGAAGAAGAACGCAAAAAACATGATAAGTTAGAAAAACGTTTGAAGCAGATTACTGAAGCGAATGTTCTGTTAGAAAGCGGTCTAAAAGAAGTTCAACACCAGATACATGCTTTTCATACTGAATCAAATGATCAACTTGATTCAAGTAAGGCGAAGAAACAAACAACACAGAACACTATTATAATGAATATGGAAGAGAAAAAAACGATCAATAAGAAGAATTCGAAAATAGGGAGTGAAATCATTCAGTTAGACTGTCCATCTTTAGATAAATTATTAGCTGCATTAGACGTAAGAAATCTAGTTGAAGATATTGACTCTGGACAGTTCCTCAAATCTAGAGTGGATCAACTTGAAGTGAGTGAATACAAAAGTTTATATGCTCTTTTATAAACCAAACGGTAAAATATCAACTAGAAAAAATGAATACTTACTGTATAAACATTGTCACATCAAAGAGAAATAAAGGTAGAACTTATAGAACTAGCCTATAGAAAACTATTGTTTATATTGTGATTGTATGATTATTAGGCATTTAAATTGCCGTCTTCTTAAAATTTCCAATTTGTTAGCTTTTTTGACTGATAAATGGCTTTTAGTGCTGTCAAGTGATTGAAGCACATCATTGAATAAGTTTTAAGTCATAACGGTAAATCTGCTTGGTATTTTCACTTTCTGTTCGGAAGGAGACCACGAGCCAACAAGCATTAAGGTCACGAACGATGATTCATTGGTCCTAAAAAGGTCACCGGTCCTACAAGCAACATTTGCGTTTAAGTCACTAGTCAGATTACACAATACAACTGTCCTCATAGTAAACAGATGGATCACAAAGGCCACAAGACAATTCAGAAATCTGTTCTTTTTGAACATGCTTTTAGCGGCCTGCATCAAATTCGAAGTAAGGCTCAACACTTTAGTGGTCCGCGATGCAATAAATCTCTTCAGTTTTCGTATATCATACTTAGGCGAGCCCCGTTTGATCGACGGCAGTCATTACAAGTTAAATATGGATTCGGTTGGATGAGTTTATTTCATGCAATCGTCAATGCAGACAAACATGAAAGTGCGAAGCGTTAAAGCAAAGTGGAGAGGTCGAGTGAGCCAATTCATTGCAGTGATAAATGATTAAGTTTGCATGGTTAGGCGAGAATGGGATAGACATGTAATAAGTGAAGTAAGCATGTACATACACACTCAAATAAAAACTATCCAGATATACGCAAATATTAGACAAGGCCGGAAGACGTGTGAATAACTCGAGAAAAGTGGACTAATTAATTTGTTCGAAGGCTGGTACAAGCCCTGTTGGCTCAACACATTTATACACACACTACATACTACAACTACAAGCCCATCTGAATTTGTTATGATCAGCATACCGTCTATCCCCATTAAGATCTTGAGAGATAAAGTTAGACACTTTTTATGACGGTTACATGAGTTCTTTATACAATTTTGATCCACCTCTCAGTCAGTTACAACATGGGACTTCGTACATGGGTACATAAGTTCAGGTTGTCATACCCAATCAGCACAGATACGCAACTGTCAGTTCAAATCCCATAGTGCTAGAGATAGTAGAAGTATTAGCAGTAATGACGAAGATTAAATTTGGAGATATGATTCGAGAAGTATAATTCAGTGAGATGACTGTAAAAAGAGAAACATTGAGATGGTGAGGAATTAGGAAGACTAGAATTTCATAGAACACAGAGTGGATACACCTGCGCCATTGCAAACGATTTTCAGCTATGTCGTTTTAGGTCTCTAACCATCGGTGACTATCGTCTCGCGGACCACAACCAGGTAGTCGACACGTACCAATATGACTCAGTCCACTTGTCGGTGACCTCATGGATATGCACCGTGTTTTTTGTTTGAACGCCCCCAGCTTTCTTTCAGCCTACTTACTCCTAAACCACAAAACACTACTCATTCTGATTCCCTGATTCATAAATTGCCATTTTCTTATTCCCACCATTCTTTTTACTGTACTTGCTGCGTGTATCAAGTAACTTCTCAGTTTGATATACCTTTTTGTCATACTTCAGTCTACATTACCATCTTTTAACCAGATAACTTCTCTTATAGACACCGAAGCTGTTATGCTTATGTATGAATCATTATTGTCACATTACAATGAAAAACTACAAAAAGTCATTCGGTTTAGGAATAAGAGTGAAAAGTCATTTTAGGACAGTATTTTGGCAGATGGTTCCCCTAACTCCTCGATATACTTCGTCTGGGCTAAACGTACAATATTCCGATTAAAACAGATAAACTTACCTACTTAAACCTGTAAGCCTTCTTGAAGAATAGGCCTCTGACCAGAATTCTCCGACCTGCTTCATCCTGGAGCTCTCCATTCCAATTATTGCAGGGTACTATCCAACCTTTTAATGTTTACCACCGATTTTGAGTGGAGCATATTTTCAGTCTGCCTCTTTACCTTCTGCTTTGGGGATTACAACTTACAGTTTATCCTGTGAATCAGTTTAATGATTGCCATAATGCGTCTTATTCACTTTCGTCGTATTTTTTCGAATTCCTTTATCTGGAAGCTTATTTGTTCTCTGGAAAACAGTAGCTTGTTGCAGATAGTGGTGGGCTAGTGTATCTATCTTGTCTAGACGATTGTTTATGAATAGCTGTACTTTTTTGATGACTGGCTTAGTAGTTCTCAAGGTCTCAGCTCCGTACAATGGAACTTTCTTGGTATTTGAACTGACTTTGGTGTTGGTTGACGGTCTTTTTCAGTTCATTATGTCCTTCTGTTGCAGAGAAGCTGTCCTTGTTTTACCAATCTGTGTCTTTAAGTCTCCATCAGATACTCCCTTGTTTATGAAAAGTAGTTTCTAGGTCCGTAAATGTTTCCATCTCCTCCAGAGCTTCTCCATCAAGCTTGGTTTGGTTGGTGCTCGCTGTGCTGTATCTTAAGATCTTGCTTTTTCTCCTGTGTTTATTGAGAAGTGCATGATTCAAGTTTAAGAAAGCCAGCCTGTTGATTTTGGGGTTGTGCGTCTATTGAATCAGCCATTCGGTCCAGCCATTCTCCGTAGAAAACTTTACCTGGTACTTACAACAGTGTAATGCTCCTGTAGATCTTACATTTACTGAAACCTCTTTTCTTTGGCATATTGACCAAGTACCACTTTTTATAGTCTGTTGGCACTTGTGCTTCCTTCTAAATCCTTCTGTAGGGAGTGTGGAGTACCTTCGTCATTACCTCTGTGCCTGACTCCAGTGCCTCAAACATTATATTATCTGATTCTGCTGCTTTGCCACTATTGATCTGTATGATGACCATATTGTTCTCTTCGATTGTTGCATGGTCAACATCTGTTAGAGAAAATAAGCACTATCAGAGTTTTTACAAGATCTGCTCACTTAACTGTTCAAATATGAAATGTATAGAACTCAAAGTGCTATTTCAATCAATCAATCAATAAGGTCAATCAAGTCAATTATTAGCAACTTAGAACTTCGTACGTACGTACATACATCAGTTCAAGTTGCCATAACACATTAGCACAGAGATGTAACTTAAAAGAAAAAGATAAGGTGATGATGAATTGAAAAGTTTAGGATTTGAGAGAACACAAAGACTGAATGCACTTGAGCCATTGCAAACGGTTTTGAGCCATGTAATTCAGGGTCTCTAACCCTCGATTATTATCATCTCGCGGGCCTACCGACATGACCCAGTCCACTTATCAGTGACTTCATGGATTTTAGTAATAATCAGTGTTAGGAAAAATGTAACTCTGATTTGAAGCACTTTTCATACAATTGTAGATACAACCTGTCAACTAGTGCCAACGGACCCAAACGTTGAGCCCAAGACCTCGCGTTGATTTTTTTCAACAACTTTGCACTAACTATAGTTCACTGGAATTTCGAGTGACTTAGTCTAGTGATCATATCATAATTCGGTTGAATGCTTGAAATAAAAAATATTATTCCCTGGTTTTGATAGTGCTGGACTCTGATCAAGTTCTTATTTTATGTGCACACTATTTGTTACTACCTGAATTATGTTCAGCAAATAAATACATCTTGATATTTTTTTTAGGGGGCAAATCAGGAGCTCCGATCAAATCTTCGTGATGCACGCATGAGCAGTGCTGTAAATGAAGCAAAACTGAACCAAGCACATGATCGAATCAAACATTTGGAATCACAGCTTGAATCAGTTGATCTAGTAGATAATAATTATATGCCAAGTCGGACATTTCTTGACAGTCAGTCACCTCTGCCAAAAGATATCAATCCGGACACAGCTAAAGTTATTCACTCTCTAGAAGAACATTTATTGACAACAATGAAAGATATTAGTGATAAAAATACGCAACTTGCTTACATACATAATCAAATGGAAGATGCAAGAAGAAAGTATTCTGTTTGTAAACATCATCAGGGTTTATTGTATCGTGACTTTTATAATGAACGCCAAGTAAATTTATATATTAGATCTAAGAATTTATTTACATAAATGATTATAAAAATTTTCTCACTTTATTTAAGCAGGTAATCCTGGTTCTGCCCAGGGACGAGAAATTAAAGAGAACTAATGTGTCTTTGTATTCACATAGAAATTGATTTTTTTTACTGGACTGTATGATACAGATTCTGTAACAAAAACTATAGAAGTGACTGTCAGTTACATTAAAGAACTTGGCACGTAGGTGCATCGGTTCAAGTTCCCATAACACATTAACACAGACAGATGGGATTGTCAGGTTAAACACCAGAGTAGTGGATGTAGTAACAAAATTAGTAATAACAGAAATAAAAATGAGAGATCGAAGATAAGATTCGAGAGAATTTTAACTAAATAAAAGATAAAAGGTTTTGAGGAATTCATAAGATTAGAATTTGAGAGAAAGCAACGAATGGATACACACCTGAGCCGTGAAATTGACAAGGGTTCTTTTCATTCATTCCTCTTTCTCTTTCGATACTTGAAATTATAACTACTCAAATCAACATAGTGCTTCAACAAACTGTATGTTAGTTTGTTAGCTTGCTTGTTTGTTTTTTTGAAGTGATTGTGAAGTTTCTCATTTAATTGTGCAAAATCCTGGGAAATTTACTCAGTAAACATTCAGCATCAAATATCTTATTTCCAAAGTTTATGTTTATGTAGTCTCCTATGGAAATATTTGCATTCGGTTACCATGGCTGCCAAGTATTTTTAGCGATTCGGAACGAAATAAAGAATAAGTCAAAGTTACGGTCCGATCATGTATCTACGTAAAATTAATCTTAACCTTATTTCCGTGTGAATTTCTACATGTGCGCTTGCTATTATTGGTTATTTGTCCGCTTTTCACCTTATTGATCGTCCTTCTTGCTTAATCATGAGTAAATGTGAAAACTCGAGTTTTACGTAAAGCTGAGCCACACATTTTATTCTCATAAAAATGCCTGAAGTATAATCTTCTTGCTACACTTCATGTTTGGCTATGTTTGGAGTGCAGTCAGAATACTAACTATACATTGCAAGGTTTCGTTAGAAAACATTGCATCGTTAGAAAACATTGTCAGGATTGGCGTACATGAATATTTATTCGTAGATGGAATAGCTTCATGGTGTAAATACGAATCTTTTAAAATATAAATGTAAAAAAATCTGTTTTCCGATATTCTCTCACTGTTGATTTGAATAAATGTGAATGCCATTGTTACGATGGATTAGTGGAACTTATCACAATACTCTCTTAACAGGTTTTAGTGATTGTTGAAGTAGGCTAGTCGATCACTTCAGTGAAAGATGAGTCAGACATACATACACTTTAGTGAACCCATTTAATCAGCAAGAATAAAGTTAGTTTTAATTCTCTGAAAACTGAAGGTCTGCTTAACGAAATCTGAATATTTATCCGAAAATAATCAATAATAATCTTGAAACTATTTTCATGCGAAGATCATGAAGCAACAAAATGTTAATGATCATAATTTTGTAAATTTTATTTTTCTCCGTATCTTATGTATTTCTGTCTTGAAGACTTGGAAAAAAGAAAAAAAAGAACTTGAACAACGTTTAGAATGTTCAGAAACAAGAGTCAACGAACTGGAAGTTCATAAGAGTGAACTACTGCATTTACAAGATGTTTTGTCGAGTTTAGATACTTCATCAGGTGATAAAGAACCGAATGAAAGTTCAATAAAACAAAAGATAGCTGACCAATCACGACAGATATTATTACTTCGTGTCAATGAGGTTGGCTTACGTCGCCGGTATTTGGCAACACAAGAACGTGAAGTTGCTTTATCAAAGGTTAGTTTTTATTTGAAGATTACTAAAACCGTTATATGTTTGTCGTTAGAGATAAGACTGTATCGTCTTTCACTAATAATCACACTACAGTTGAAACTGACAGTTACGGAAGCTTGTGGATTGAAATTCTAAGACTGAGCTTAGTTTGTGGAGGTCATTACGTAGAAAGTCCACTCTTAACTTTGTCTCAACAGGAATTAGACAACTCACATTCGGTTTAATACTAAATATGACCATGCACTTTTTGTTGTGTGACATCATATTATAATGATAAGAAAATCTTTTTTGTCAGTTTTAAACAATCCAGTTTCAACAAAATCCCCGGTGTACAGAAATGAACTAAAGATTATCGTTTCAGACTTGTAACTTAAAAATGGCAATTCGCATGCTCAAAAGTTTGCACCACTCAAACCATGCAAGGGAGTTATGCATGCTAATTGCTAGGACTGTAAACAAGCTTTCAAAGCAGCAAGATCAACAGCGAATAAAATCCGATGGCCAGTTATCCAAAGACTCGATGATAGGCCAAAACTACACAAACCCAACAATCCATTGCCTTCAGTTGCCTTCCTTCTTCGGAACTCTAACATCCAACTTATCAATATACATTTCAAGGATATTGAAACATTTAGTGGAATCCCCAAACTCAATGAGATTTAAATCGGTAACTACGAATTGATGATATCCTTCGGTGTAAAAGCCTTATTCGCCTCATAAGAGCCAAGACTTGCTGGAGAAACTCTGTCCCTACTCCATACTAACGACACAAGTCTCCCAAAGTATCCGAAACTTCAGAGTCAAAGTCTACAAAAACTCACTGATTTATGCTTAACAACGTATTTTCAATCCAACAGCAAAATCTACGAACAAACGGAAGGAACGTCAATCGGATCACCAACCTCAGAACTTATCTCAGAAGCCGTGATGCAGAGACTGGAAGCATCGATATGACGAGTGGATTAACTGTGTCGACGACACATTTGTCATTATCAAAAGGAATGAGATGGAGAACACCTACAATCAGATCAACAGCTTCTTCGATGACACAAAATTCACGGTGGAAAGGGAATCGAACAACAAACTATCATTCCTGGATTTATTAAACCTGGAACCTCAAATATTTTGGAGCCATTCCATACAGATTTAATTCTGAACTACAGTAGCAACAACTAAAGAACTCACAAAATCAACTGCGTACAAACTTTGTTCAAGAGAGCGAAAACACACTGAAGCACACATGAAGCACAAAGAAACAAGGAAAAACATCTGTTGATTAACTAACTTCCAAAAGAACGGCTATCCACACAACTTCATCAAAAAATATCAAGTGAAACAATCAACAGAGGTGAAATCATGCACAGGAATCGACAAACGGATTATCCTACTATACATAAATAGGCATAACCCATAAACCAACAAAATTACTTCAATCAGTCCAATGTCAACCAAAGAACAAAATGACAAAAGAAGAAAGGCCAAATATAATCTACAAAATAAACTGCTCAGACTGTGAAAAACCTGACACAGGACTAAGTGGGTGTCCTCTTCAACTCCATCTGCGTCAACATCACTTAGCAGTCGAACTCCATGACATTCTTCTCTCATATCAATACATACAGACAACTGTGGACATACATATGATTGGAACAATGTTAAAATACTGGATAGAGGGAGTATAAAGAACACTAGAGAATTTTTAGAAGCTGGGCCCACAGGTCAATGAGCATTTAGCAAACATATCGGCATTGATTTATCAATTTATCAGCCAATCACAAAAATCATCATCAAACATAGGATCAAAAGACAGACCAAAGGGGGAAACAATCGAGATAAAGGTGCCGACAACGACAGGTTTGAGGTTGATGACAACTAATCAAAATCGAGGTTAACAAAACAAGTTACGAGTCATAACGGAAACGTGCAGCTCAAAGAAAGAAACTCCACCATAATCATCCACCTGAACTACAAATTTTCTCCACCATTTCAAAATCACTTTATCGTAAATGGTCATTTTAAATTAACTGGAGGGCGTTATCTTGAGACTGTCAATCAAAACCAAATAACTAAGTAATTATACCGCGGACTGTGAAGTTACGTGATGCCAACTCACACCTCATAACCTTCCTGGCTAGTGGCGACTAGAATGAAATCTATATTCAAAATCGACTTCTTCCTACCCAAAAGCACCTGATATCTAAAAAATTCAAACGAAACATAAAACAACTCAAATATCATAACTATCAGTTAAATTTGAAGCAAACGACAAACAGACTGGTTAATGAACAACAATGTATGTAATGCATTTCATCCACTCTCTTTTTCCCTTAAAGTTTTGTAATAAAAATTTATAAATCCTGATGATTAGCAATTTTTACTATTAAGCTAACTTTCATAATAAGTATTTGCAGAAATTCAATTCAGTAAAGAATTAGTTAATTTTCCAAAATTATTTGAAAGATCACTGAATAACAGTGAACATACCGGATTCGATATTCATGTATTGTTTTTTTACTTAAAATTTAAGCGTTTAAAATCCTTATTTTATAGTATGCAAGTTATTCGTTATTCGTTGCACAAGAACTAGAAATAAAAACCATGCAACCTTAATAATTATGCGTCTATTGTGCACAATTTTCTTCAAATAGAACTTTATGGTTTATGCTAATTACTTGCGTAGAAATCAGCAAACATCTGATTAATATTTATTAGTACTTCTCGAGAGTCATTTAAGAATTACTAAAAATATTTGGGGACAATCTAACTATTGGGAAATATTTTCTTCTTTACACTATCCAATCATTTGAACTACATTTCAGTTTGTTACCAATGAAACAAGTTGAATTCCGCACTGCATAATCGCCGTCAATGTGTTATTAGAGCTAATGCAGTCTCAGGTATCTCGTTCATCAGTTTACATGAATACATTTAATATTTTCTTTGGAGATTGGGGTAATCGCAATTTTTCAGATTTTATCGTGATTTGTGTTTGACAATATTGATCATGTTTTCCTTAGTTTACTGCTGATTTTTTGAACGGTATAAATTATGAGTCTTTTTGACTTTGTGCAATTCAGGAGAATACTAATTTGAAAAGTGATATATTCCAATTGGAATCAGCTGTAAGTGCTCGGCTAAACTATTATGCGAGGTATAAAGAAACAGCAGCATTTCAAATACAAAAATTACAAAAAACATTAGATCGATGTGTTTCAGAAGATGAATTGAACAATCTAAGAAATGAATATGAAACATTAGCTATTAAATATAAAGAGTTATTGGAACACGGTTCAAATAACGTAGATTATCAATTAACCTTGAAATCTACTCAAACTAACTTGGATAATTTGAAAAAACAACATGATGAATTGAAGGAACAATTGATCATAGAAAAAGAACGGAGATATTTACTGGAAAATTCAACTAATCAGTTGCAATCAAATGTGGTAGGTCACGTTAATTTTTGAATTGTTTAGATTTTTCGATGCTGATAAATAAAGCGTACTTTTTATATCTCTGCAACTTGTTAACATTTTCGTTTATTCATTTTAGTATTCTATACATGTTGTCTTCGTTGTTCTCCAATCATATCTACTACTTTCAGTCTGTTTTAATTCGCATACATATCTAAACTTACCTGTCTTAATTCGCTGAATGCTATCAGTCTAGGTAGTTCAAATAAAAACAAGTATTTTTTATCTCAAAAGTGTGAAACATGATTTTGTATGTAGCATCTATAATATGCGCTTATCAGTGCAACATCAAGACAAATAGATTACGTAAAATAAATCTTCATATCGAGTATTTCAGTAGTTCACTCAATATTCGGTTCAATTTTAACAAGAAAAGATCGATATATACTTGCAACGTCCAATGCTTACTGTTGAAGCTGTAGGTTGGAAGCAATTAGTTTTATATATTTCTTGTAGGTTTCGTTAATCTGCTCTTCTATTGTTGAATTATCTATCTTGATACTTATCTCAAGTCTTCTTTTGTTTATGATTGGTCTACATAATTAAATGTGTATTACACAGCTAGAAGATTCTTGTGTGACGCATAACTGAGGTTGATATTAGGGAATTTTGAATACCGAATAGTTATCACTAGTTGAATTCGGAAGGTAATTATTTTTCATTGAAAACTATGTTATTCTTCGAAGAAAATTTTCCTATCTTCACTAATCAGATCATTTACAAAATATTGTTAACAGAAACATATTATAGATGATAAGTAGCTCGTTTCTTTTGTAGTAATTAACAGTTTATTGCAACAATATAGCCTATATATAAATCACAATGGAACATTTGTATTTGACTTTAAGTAAATAAACTTGAATGTACTCACACATTTCTGTATGAGATGACTGATGAACAACTTCGTTTATCAACTATACATACATCGTGTTCTTATGCATTTTGTTTTATGTAGCGTGGCGAGAAAACAGTGTAAGTGGACAATGCAGTAAAAGCCATTGCTGGTTAGTTCGATGTAAAAAGTTAGTGGAAACTATTGCAATATGAATACAATTCAGGGATGGAATGAAATTGCTAGTGTTTACTAGTGAACTTCATATTTGTTGATTTTGACCAATCTAATGATGACTTTGTGAAACTATCTGGGATCAAGTTGAATGAAGCATTATTCTAGCTTGTCTAACAAGCATAACAGTTAGTTAGAGCCCATTTAATGGTCAGTTAGTCAGTTGCAACGTAGAACTTCGTACGTATGTACATAAGTTCAGGTTGCCATACCACATTAGCACAGGGACGCAGATGTCAAATCAGATCCCATAGTGATAAAGATAGTAGAGGTATTAATGGTAATGAAGATTAGGGTTCGAAGATATTATTCAAGAAGTATTATTCAGTGAGATAAGGTTAGAAAGACAAAGGTAGAGGTGCTGACGAATCCAGAAGATTAGGATTTGAGAGAGCTCAAAGAATGGATGCACTTGCGCCATTGCAGAAGATTTTGAGCCATGTCGTTCAAGGTCTCTAACCATTGGTGACTTTCGTCTCGCGGACCCCAACCAGGTAGTCTACATCTACCAACATGACTCAGTCTACTTGTCAGTGACTAGCTGGATTTCTGCCATGTTTTGGCCTGGCCGCCCCTGACTTTCTTCCAACCTACTCCTACACCACAAAACATAGCTCGTCGAGGCAGTCGGTGGTTAGCCATACGTAACACATGTCCAAGCTGTACGACTAATCTTAAATGATCTTCTTGGTTGTTGATAATAACGGTTGAAATGTTATTGATTATAACATCATTTAGCCTTTTTTATAATTAATCTTTTTAACATTTAGATAATGAAGTCTAATCAAATTGAGAATGATCTGTCCGACACAAATATGGCTAAACGTTTAGCTTTAATAGAAATGAAAGAATTAAATGAACGTGAACGTGCAAATCATACACAAATGCTTTTAAATACAGTGCAAGATGTGAATCATCAATTAGAGTTAAGAAATAAAGAACTTGAAAATAAATTTACAGAAATTACAAAAGCATTGATGGAAATGCAACAAAGTGAACAAAAATTACGACAAGAACTGACAAGTAAGTGATATAGTTCTTTTTTTTATCAGCACTTATTCAATTTTTGTGAAATACCAACGATTTTCCTAATATGTCTGGTGTCAGTGCTAAAAGTTAAAGTTGTAAATAACACAAATACAAGTTAGTCTGTATGGTATCATATTTCGTCGATTACTTGATTTGTGCTTTAAACAAATAAAGCTAGTCATAAAAATCTGAAATTCATAAGATATAATACCTATAATCGACCCTACAATGTAATAAACTGTATGTAGTGTAGTTGTTCAAATCTTTTTTTCTAAACAATATACGAATCATTGACAGTTCGACTGATACATGTTATCCAGGAAATTTATTTTAAATGAACTCTGTACATTATGATATTATAGAGATGCGAATGATTGTCGGGTCATTCATTCATTGTTCACATACGTATCTGAAATATAGGCTTAGCAAAAATACTTTCTATGGATTCATTTCTTAGCTGTAAAATTCAGTCTTTACTCTTTCTGTTGACATTAATTGTGACAACTTCATTAAATATCACAAAACTACATCCATAGTACTTAATCATGTGGTCATCACTGATTGGCTTTTGAATGATGCAGTATAAAACTGTCGCTGTATAGATTCAAGTACTGAACATAAAACCTTTGAAAACCTTGAATTATTTTTTCCGGTTAGTTTTTTCTAAGTGAGTTGGTTTTCTGAGGGATGATGTCACTAACTCTGCCTAACCCTCCTTTATATGGACTTGGGACCGGTAGTAACCCCAGAAGGGTTCCAAGTGGATATATAGGTTCAAATACTTTGTGACTAAACCATTTACCACCTAAATACATTGAATGAAGATCTCACGATATCTGGGATAGACTTTAAATGAAAGTGTGAATCGCTAGACAGTATCATCATTGTTTTAAAGTCATATTCTCCATGAGAATAGAAGTCCTTGTGAAATTGTGAGTATAAATTTAGGTCAGTTCCCCAGTTCCTAATAAATGGACCCTGAGAATTTAGAAAATACAGTTCTTATGTAAGATGCACAAGAACCAGAGTTGTTCCTTTACCAGATAATAAATGATTTGTAACCGCAAACAAGGGTGGACGTTAGTCTCGAAAGCTTATAATATTTAATTTGACAACCTTTAGTCAGGCGTGGCCATAAGATATCCCATATCCTCAATATGCGTTCAAGATGTTGATGTTCAAAGGAGTACGCAGTTCACATTAATTCGCACAGTTTATCGACATACGAGCCGAGTGATCCCCCGCTCATAGTAAAAATTATTCGGTCCAGGTATAATATCCAGATTAATGATGAAATACTATGTAGTGTAGGTTCTGATTGATTATTTATTATCAGTCTAGATAGTGCTCCTTACCTTGTTGAATTTTCATGTGGTTATATGCCTTACTTACTTACTTACTTACTTACGCCTGTTACCCCCAATGGAGCATAGGCCGCCCACCAGTTTTCTCCAACCAACTCTGTCCTGGGCTTCCCTCTCCAGTTCTGTCCAATGCTTGTTCATTCCTCTCATATCTTCCTCTATTTCTCGGCGTAGTGTGTTCCTTGGCCTTCCTCTTTTCCTATTGCCTTGAGGGTTCCATGTGAGGGCTTGTCTCGTGACGCAGTTAGGTGCTTTTCGTAGTGTGTGTCCTATCCACTTCCACCGCTTCTTCTTGATTTCCCCCTCCACTGGAATCTGGTTTGTTTTCTCCCACAGTTTTGCGTAGACAACTGTTCATAAACACTTGCATCCTCTGGATGATGGCTTTGGTAGTTCTCCATGTTTCCGCTCCATACAGTAGAACTGTCTTGACATTTGTATTGAAAATGCTGATTTCGGTTTTGGTTGATATTTGTTTGGAGTTCCAGATATTTTTCAACTGTAGAAATGCAACCCTTGCTTTGCCAATCGGCGCCCTCAAATCTGCATCGGATCCACCTTGGTTGTCGATGATGCTGCCCAGATATGTAAAGGTGTTAACGTCCTCCAAGGCATCTCCATCAAGAGTGATTTGGTTGGTGCATGTTGTGTTGTATCGTAGAATCTTACTTTTCCCTTTATGTATGTTGAGACCTACTGCTGCAGAGGCTGCTGCTACACTGGTCGTCTTTTCTTGCATTTGTTGTTGAGTGTGCGATAGAAGAGCCAAGTCATCTGCGAAGTCCAGATCGTCCAGCTGCGTCCTAACTGTCCAGTTGATACCGTGCTTCCCTCCAGATGTTGACGATTTCATAATCCAGTTGATGACCAGGAGAAAGAAAAAGGGTGAGAGTAAGCAACCTTGCCTGACACCGGTCTTCACCTCGATAGAGTCTGTCAGCTGACCTCCGTGCTCGATTTTGCAGTTGAATCCATCATAAGAATTCCGTATGATGTTGATTATTTTCTCAGGCACACCGTAGTGTCGAAGAAGCCTCCACAGTGTTTTCCTATCCACACTATTGAATGCTTTCTCGTAGTCGATGAAGTTGATGTAGAGTGGTGAGTTCCATTCAATTGATTGTTCCACAATGATCCGTAATGTAGCAATTTGGTCAGTACACGATCGATCCTTACGAAATCCGGCCTGTTGATCTCGAAGTTGGACGTCTACGAAGTCCTTCATTCTGTTTAACAATACCCTGTTGAAGACTTCGCCTGGTATTGAAAGAAGAGTGATGCCTCTGTAGTTCTCACACTTGCTGAGATCGCCTTTCTTTGGTATTTTGATCAGGTATCCTTCTTTCCAATCTGATGGTACTTGTTCCTCATCCCAAATCTTCTTGAAGAGGATGTGAAATATTTTTGCAGTTGCTTCTACATCTGCTTTCATTGCCTCTTCTGGAATATTGTCTGTTCCTGCTGCTTTGCCGTTCTTGGTTTGTCTGATGGTCGTACTGATCTCCTCAATCGTAGGTGCGCCAATATTTATTGGGAGGTCCGTGGATGCTGGTTCGATGTTGGGTGGGTTCAGTGGAGCTGGTCGATTCAGTAGTTCCTTAAATTGCTCTGCCCACCTATTTCGCTGTTCTTCAGTGTTGCTAATTACTTTGCCTTCTTTACTTTTCACTGGTCGTTCTGGTTTAAGATAGTTTCCGGCCAGCTTCTTTGTTGTTTCGTACAATTATCTCAAGTTTCCTTCTCTTGCAGCCTTTTCCGCCGTCATTGCTAGATCCTCCACATATTTTCGTTTGTCAGCTCTGATGCTCTTCTTCACTTGCCTGTTTGCTTCTGTGTATGCAGCTTGTGCCTTAACTATCTCTGCTCTTGTTCGGCTGATGTTGATTGCTGCCTTCTTGTTCCCCCTTTCTTCAATTTTTGCAAGAGTACCAACAGAGATCCATTCCTTGTGATGGTACTTCTTGTGACCCAGAACTTCGTGACATGTTGAAATGATTGCCTCCTTAATCCCTTTCCAATTGTACTCCAATGTTGCTTCCTCTCCATTGAGTAGATCCTGAAAGGCCTGGAACCTATTGGTGAGGGCTATCTTGAATTCGTTGAGTTTTACGGTTTCCCGAAGAAAGGCTGTATTAAACTTGTGTGATGTTGTCTGTCCCGTTGTCCAGTGCTTCTTTAGCTTCAGTTTCATTTTGGCGACCAGCAAGTGGTGATCTGAAGCTATATCAGCTCCTCTCTTGGTTCTCACATCCTCCTTAGTCCTTCTGAACGTTGTGTTGATACAGATATGGTCAATCTGGTTTTGAGTAGTGTGATCCGGTGAAATCCATGTAGCTTTGTGTATGCGTTTGTGCGGGAATATTGTGCCACCAATGACCAGTTTGTTGAAGGCACATAGGTTTGCAAATCTCTCACCGTTTTCGTTCCTTTCTCCCAGTCCATGTCGTCTTATGATGTCTACATATCCAGTGTTGTCTATGCCAACCTTGGCATTCAGGTCTCCCATAAGAATCGTCAAATCCTTTGGTGATCTTTAACGTCGTCATTGTAGTCATTGGTAGGTGCATAACATTGGATGACATTCATTGTAATGTCCTCTTTCTTTGTTTTGAAGGATGCTTTAATGATCCTGGGTCCATGAGATTCCCATCCTATCAGTGCCTTTTGTGCATGATTGGACAGCATCAGCGCAACTCCTTGTTTATGTGAAGCGTTTTCCTCTTCATGATCAGAGTATAACAGCAGTTCCCCTGAAGCAAGTCTCAGTTGTCCTACCTGTGTCCAATGTGTTTCACTGACGCCGAGCACCTCCAGGTTGTATCTTTTCATTTGTGCCTCAACTTGAAATAGTCTTCCAGTCTCCCACAATGTACGAACGTTCCATGTAGCTAAAAGAATGGTTGTTCTGGTAGTCAGAACAGGCATCGGCCCCGTGACTTCCGAGGGAGCTCGGCTTTCATCACGAGACGTCATAATTGTTCTTCCAACTGCCAGGGCAGAGTTAAAATGGTTTGAATTATTTTTTCTGGTTAGCGTTTTTTGGCAAGTGAGATTTCGACGGAATGGGGTCTCCAACCCCATGTCCAACCCTCCTCCTTAACCCGGGCTTGGGGCCCGGAAGTAGCCCCTAAGGTTCTACTGGCGGAGTTGGTTATATGCCGGTTATATGTAAATAAGTCTGATTAGTTGAGAAAACGTGTTGAGAGAGTCTTTTTGAAATGCTTATGTAAAACTCACCATACTTTGAATGTCTTTCATTCTATTGATGGTTGCCAAACTGGGCATGATAAGTGCATAAAATTTGTTACGAGAAAAAAATTCTCATGCACCATACATATCCAGTGAGAATGCTTCTAGAATTTAACTACGATGGTGAGAATTTTTTTAGATTTTTACTGAAATTTTTCCCCATAGCTCCACTTCACCTGATTGATCACAAGTCCTTTTCGTTGTTTGATTCATAATATGAGTTCTTTTTCATTAATATGTGGATTACACTAGAAAGCTTGCGTATATATTTCAGGGTTTGTTTTTTATCTTTCTTTATGGGAGTTTACTGAAAGTTGAAATTTATGAAACGTTGAACAGAAACAGGTTACAATGATTCTGCTCAACACTAAAGTAGATAAACTAAATAGTGTGAAATATTCGATTAATTTATATTTATTTTGGAGAAAATTAGGAAAATAGATTAACAAATCAAGGTGATTTAATCCTATTTGAAATGATTTGGATTACTCTGCTGTTCATAATTTTACTGAAATTCGATCATTCATGGTTGGTATTTAGGCATTCCGTGCGGATTGCCTTGATAGAGGCATTTGTAACACAAGTTTATGTAGAATATATAGAATATGGCCAGCAGTAGAATCAAGGAAGCGCGTTTCGTCCAACTCAGGACTTGTGAGCTGGATGTACCTGCAACTCAGAGTTGACGTTCACCTCGAGACTTAAACCTAGTACCGTTTGCTTCAAACTTCAGCGCGTCGTCCACTTAGCTAGTTAGTCGAAGACTGATTAAATTTCAGTCAAAATATCAGCAACGGAATAATCCAAACCATTTCAAATTAAATTAAATCTCAAACCTTTTGCAAAAAGCGAGTGAATAACGCGGTTGGATTTTATAGCTAATAGTAGTGGGTTCGAGTCTCGAAGTGGACGTTAACTTTGAGACGGAAGTCCCCAACGGGACAAAACGCACGTCTTGGGTTTTACTGCTAGTCCTTCTTTTCTATGTAATTTACAGCAAAATAAAGAGGGAAAATATGAGCTCCTGAAAACAGTATAATATTGTCCAATGAGTATCATTTAGGCTTTGATTCGTGACTGAATCATAGTTTCGTGTGGAATGGTTTGAAGACAATTTAATTTAGAATGGAACAGTTTTCCCCCAACTCATGGCGACTGACTATCCAAGTATCCATCAATACTCAATGAATATGCATAAAATACCATAAATTTCGTAACAAAGAAGTCTGACTTTGTAATTTCAGAAGCAGTCCCAATATCAGTACATCAAGAAATTGAAACACAAAATACCGAACTGGAGCAGACCAATTTGAAACTTCGTCATGAAATTGAACAACTAAAAGAAGTAGCTTTAATTTCAATGAATCAACATCAAAATTTGGAAGATCAGCTAAGTAGTCAATCGATTGAAATACAAAATTTGCGTGAACAAGTGACTGAACTGGAATCTAAAGATGATTCAAAAGCTGATTTGGCTCGACTCCATCGTCTCGTGACACGAATCCAGGTAGGCTTACGTGAATAATTACACAATTATCATTTTTGTAATATAACACAAGTTTATATAGAATGCATAGAATATGGCCAGCAGTGAAATCCAGGACGAGCGTTTCGTCCTACTTATAGATAAAAACTTGTTCGGTGGTTCTGGCTGATTTCTCATTTCAATTTTTATGAAGTTATCTCAATTAACCTATCTAATTGTTGAACTGTAATTGTGACCACTTGTGCAATTTCTACGCGTTGAACTGACTACTCATTGTTTAACGACCTTAACTCTTAGATAACGTATTTAAGAAAACACTAGAAGCTTGTAAATAAATATATATGACAAAATCAAGATGAACTTCAAGAAATGGACACTGATTAGTTGCTATCCTTGATATCAGTAATGAAATTCAAAGCACATGAATTTTTTTTTATTTGAACGTTCAACAAAAAAGTTCGATCGTTATATGAAACTTTCTCAATTTATTATGTATTTAACAATTAGCTATCAGTTATAAAATATAGCAATCTATAAGAGAGGACAACATAAACTGATATTAATTTAAAGACCTACAATTTTTCAATTTTTTAAACTACAAACTTAATATATTCTGTTTCAGTTCTTTCTTAATATACTGAATTTCTAATTCAGGTATCTAAATATAACATTTACAGATCTCTGAGTCGACTGCCCTACGTCGTTTAGCATCAACTCAAGTTAAAGTAAATCGTTTGGAAAGCGATTTGTTGAAAACTGAAAAAAGACTAACACAAAAAGAAAGTGAATTGACAAACGTGTACAATAAATCACGTCAACGTGAAAGACGACTACGTGAAACTATTACAGTAATTTACAATTTTTAACTGATACAAAAAATTGCTTTTATTTAACGATGTCATGTTAGTCGGTTTTATACATATCAAGTAAGAAAAATGAATGTAGGCCGGCTGAAGTCCCAATACTTCACGTCATTGTGAGGGAACAAAACCAACCAAATGCATATCAGCCATGTGTAGCTCCAGGTAAACAATGAGCACTTTTGAGCAATTTAGTTTGAACAACTTTAGGCATGAAATCGGCGAATTACGTTAGCTTTTAAACTAATGCTAAATTTTTTAATGTTTGAATATCATAACTTGATCTAGCTACTCTCTAACATTTTTTAGCCTGCTCTTATGCTAGTATGTTTTTCAAAGCACGTTATTTGAAGCGTGAAATAATAACAGTGCGCATCGGATGGTTTTTTTTTCTGAAAAAAAACGAGAGTCAATACATTGGGGCGTCAAATAGCACGATAAATAATACATTCAAGAAGGCTGCATATTAATATTTTCTTGTTTGCTGCCTAACGTCAAAACAAGTTTTTAAATTCTGTGCGTTATATTTTTGTCGTAACTGTGTTCGTTATACGTTCCATAGATTAAATGGACACTTTGGTATTTTTATTGCTCGATAGTTTGCGTATTATGAACGTCTTATTAGAGAATGAAGCGCAGCGATGGCGGTTTTTTTTGTCAGTTTTCCATGAATTTGGTTATCACAGCTTAGATCTTCTGTGCGTGACAAAATCTACTTCAAGTTAAGAAATTTTATTGTGAAAATTAATTTGAATCAAATAAATACCTTTCGAATATTTCCAAATGATGACTGAATCTACAGCACTAATTTTATGTTACTAATCAGCTTGGTCTTTTAGTTTTGAGTACTTACTGATTCCATTGTTGTCTAAACATAGATCTGTGTGCTCATGAAAGAAACAAACGTTTATGAATCTTAGCGTCCGACCAATAACATGATCTATGATAATTTCGAGACAATAATTTACTCTTACTTCCAAAAATGTCCACTTTATCTGAAGATATTTAGGGTGTCATATTGTAAATTCAACAAATTTTTCGGAATTCAGTTTCGTGGTGTCCTAACACCGACCTTTTAGCAACCAAGACGCAACAAGAATGAGAAAGCTGATACTCCATACTTGACAGTTGATCCAATACTCATGTACATAAGAAACCAGACCGCACAACAGGCCAAATGAACAACGATATAAACAAGGAATGGGAAGAGCGAAGTGATAGTTACACAAGACTTCGTTCGGTCTGAGTGTATGAACGGAAAATGCAATAACATTAATTTACGGTTCGAATAAAAACTTCAATCTCGGGTGATGCGGAAATATTACAAAACAAAATAATAAATATTCCATCATTATTCATAAAAATAGACCTTAGAAAAATAGTTTCAAAAACATTTTAACTCATAGTTAGATTGTCTCTCTCTCTCTCAAAACAAGTTTGTTGATTATACTTTGGTAACATATCAACTATCTTGGTATTTACATTCATTTTTGTAGACACTTCGTCAAAGATATGCAGGTTGTATTCCGCTCAGACAACAAGAGAAACTATCTGTTCGTTTAAATGAAACAATTCGTCAATGTACATCTATCCAGTCGGCTCTTGATGAAGCCTTGAAGGATAAAATCAAATCTGAATCGATTATCGACGGTTATGAGGAAAAAATAAAGTTAACATCTGACATTCAAAAGATTTTCACCGAATATAACGAACAACATAAAAGTCATGATATTAATAAAAATTTAGAAAAACGATTATTAGATTGGCAAGAACGATTAAGTGATTTACGAGTCTTAGAATCAACACAACGTCGTCAGGTTTGTAATATTCATTTTGATTTTGAAATCTATCCGAAAAATTTCATTCATTGACTTCTCTAGTGATTAAATGCAAAGTTGTTTACTTAAAAATGTATGTTTACTTAAAAAATAAATCTTTTTAGTGAGTAATAAACACTCCTCAGTTTGAACAAATCCGTACTAACCATTTATGTTAAAACAGTGTGCCCACTTATAAACAACTTCGAGATAAATTTTCAGCAAACCTACTAACAAGCTGAAGCATGTGGTGCGAACTACTTATAAGTAGTATATGACGTGAGTGTCAACGTTAAGTCTGGTAGCATAATATGGGGGGAAGATCAAGAAAGGAAGAGTCAGAAAACAATGGAATTTCTATGAAACGCATGAATAGTGACAATGGATTGATGTTTTGCAACAGGAACAGTCCAGTTCCATTGGATGAACTGATATTTTGCAAATGAACGATTTACGATATGGTTTTCCGATTTTACTGAGTAACTCTGTAATTTTCGCTAAATACAATTCGGTTGCCCCACCTGTGTTCTCGTTCACTACAAACATACTTAGTCAACCTTATCATGAATGAATTGCATAGCCTTAAATGAAATTGCATGACGTTTGCTGAATAGTGTTAAACGAGTTAATTTGTAATTGTGAGCAATTTAGTTTGACTAAGTAAATCCAGATATATTTCATTCTTGTCTGGGGACCTGGAGATGACTGATTCGTTTCTGTTCAAGCCTGTTGATATGCACTGCCTCTATCTTCCAAGGTACTTCAGTCGAAGTGAATTCCTGATAAACGCAAATTACAAATCCAAATATTTTCACAAATCCTTAACCTGAATGATAATATATTATGTGAGATTTGGTGGTGTTTTATGAGCCTAGAGCTTTTCATGTCCGAAACGTGCTGATCACTGATTTGAATCATTTAATGATTTTAATTCACAACGCTTTGTTTAAAACTTGTAGCATATTCTGCATGCAGTTATTTTGATTAACCCGAACTGTTGTCTGGTCTCAATACAACAATCGTATCAGCTTTTGAAAATCCTTCACTGCTAACTTGTGTTTCTTAGTCACAATCTTTGAATGTGGAGATGGAGAAATTAAATACTTTATTTTGAAATATGAACCAGCTTGACTTTAAACCAAACCTTTTTATCTTTATCCTATGGGTTTGAAATCAGTAACTTGGTGGTTGAGATGTTCAGACTATGCCTGCCCATTTTTTTTCTTGACCTTGTTATTCGGAACATGAATTTCAGATCCAAGAGGTAATGCTTTGATTTCAATTTTGTCCAGCTTTGTGTTTAACAACTGATCAATAAATTTTCCGGAAATCGAGGAAGGTCATCAGATATTGCATCTTTCATTGAGTTACTTTAGAAAGATTGTTTGAATCATTGAGGTATAGAGCTTTATCAAATGTATATTCATCATCTCATCAATCTTGTGCTTTCTTCCACATTGTCATAATCGAACATTTGGTGTTACTAGTTAGTGAAATCACATCACAGAGTATCCTGATCCATTACTTCAGCAACGGTTCTAGTTCTTCTAATAAATGAAATGATCATGCGAATTAGCAAATGGTCAACTGCGAAGTTTCACATCTCAGTCTAACTAGTTAGACAGTCAGTGAGAATGAAGACGTACTGGACAGCTGTATCATCCTAACAGAACGATAGACATCTAAGTAGATTAGATCTGAATATCAAAGTTCTCCCCATGACAAACTTGTTAAACGCATGTTAGTATTGGAAGGAAAAGTATAAAATGAGTAGAATCTGATGTTCATTTTGTAAAATTTGTCCTACTTCAAAACTGGATAGTTCAAAGCCCTAATCTTTCGCCAGGAAAACTGTTTGTAAACATTCTTAGATGTATGTTGCATGAAATAACAATGAGACCATCATGTAAGAATAAATTTTCACCAGTCAAAATCTGACTACAAAGTAGAACATCGAAGTCCTACCATTTCATAGCCATGTATGAATTTCAACGTGTTTGGAGATTAAATTAACCATATTGTATATCTATTGCAATAATAAATCTACCTGTAATAACAACTTAGTTCCTAGAAAGTGAATACTTATGTCAACTTTCGAATTTAATGCAATTCACATTTTAGACCTGAGATATCTTGGTATCGTTTTATTTTTCAAATAGGTCGAACGATTAAAGGAACAAGTACGTCACTTGGAATCACTTGTACAAAATCAAGAGAGACAATTGAATGAGTTAGAATTAGAAAATTCACGTCTTGTTAAAGAATTAGATCAACGGGAATCTCAGTGGGAACAACGTGAAGCTGAATTAGAAAGTGTCATAGAAAATAATACTGTATCTCATGTACGTAATCAAACGATGCCTATATGTTCTGTGGCAATTATATTTTCAGCTTTGTAACATATATCAGCATAAAGCATGTGATCACAACTTACAATTGATACATCAAATAACAAAAAATCCATCTTGTAAACGAATCAGATTTATATGATTTGCAGAACCAATTTGTTGGAAGGTTGTACCAAGGCAATACTCGTCTCTTTATGCTATTTATATCCGTAGGGATTCACATAGTAGCGGTTTAAGGTAAAGAGGATGGCAAGGAGCCTGCAAATGTTATGCTGTAGTGCAGATCAAATAACTGTAGTACTTAGTGATTATCTTTGGAATAATTGCATTACTGAATGAAACAAGTCTTCGTCTTTAAAGCGATCATTGTGAATTATGATAAACTCTCATTACGTAAACTAAATGCTTTGGTGGAACTTAACCGTGTTCGTCTGGTTTAGAAGTGAACCAAAAGTTATAACCAGACTAATCAGATTAATAGTTTTCAGATAAAATAATAGGATATATACATGTGTATAAAAAATATAATCATTCCAGACATTGTTTATGTTTCTATCAAAAAGCAAAAATAACTTGTGATTTTATTTTTAAAACTTTTGATACTACTGGATAACACTTGTCAGTAGTGCATAGAGGAAAGAGGGAAAAATCTTCTACAGCAATGGTAGGATGCATGTGCACGTCAAAATAAAACATGATGGTACTGTTTTCATTCCAAATAATCTGATACAATATTTCTCCAACAATAAATGTTTATTTATGTTATATATCCTCTCAGATTTTTAGGCTGGTGTCATTCAAATGACCATAACTTAAGTTTTTTTTTAATTAGCCATCGGTTTATAAGAATTATGGATTTATAATTATCGAGCACGTAAATGAAGCTTTTAAAAATTGTTGTCTGCTTAAATATTATTTGTCTTCAAAGGTTATTCAAACCATCCTAAATAGAAAGTAGTCACATAACACATTCTTCGAGTTGTTTCAGTCATAGATTAAAAGGAATTCATTAAATATCAAAACACAGGGTGAATTCACACTAGATCACAGTAGATTCTGAATTTCATAATTTACCATCTCCTTGTCTTCTCTTTTCCTACGTGTCCTTCATTTACCGTTTCATTCCAAAGCAGAGTTCAGCAATTTGTGTATAGTCTCATATTGCTGCATTTCCGTCAGTTGGTCTAGTTTTTCTACTAACAATCTTCAACGTGTATAGTTCACTTATCTTTTAATTTACATAGACTTGGGTACTTGGATAGTATAACAATATCCTCACACAAGCTTATACCTCAATATTGAGTACATAGATTTAGACTTAATAAATGGTTTACGCAGTGTCTTATTTAGATGATAAATAAGTAAAGTATCGGAGCTCCAACACAACCTATACCGAAATGATCTAAATTCTAGTCAGTACACTTAATAAGTTTAGAATTGATTATTTCGCAAATCACACTGTTGCCTTTTCTTATCCTAAAATTTTTTTTCCAGTACATTACCACAGAAAATATGAATGACTCAACTAATCTGCTTACAGATGAAGATATTGACGCTGCTTGTAATCAAATTAGTCAGAAAGAAAATTTCAATGAAATTTCCAAATCTGTACAACTGACTAGTCAGCAATCATCGTCTAAGTTCGTAGATGAACCAGTTCAAAAATCTGATGCTCAAACATTGGATAAATTGAAAAATGAAAACACTGCACTAAGAAAGGTATTTTATTAATTCACTGAATTTTCCGATTTCCTACCGCCTCATATTTCTGAAGAATACTTGAATAGTTTTCACTTATTAGATTAATATTCAACGAGACAATTGAAATTCCATAACTTTGGTTCTGCTCAGTAACTTCCAAATAGCTATTTATATTATGACAGTTCTCCCACTTGAATATTGGTACTAGTTGACCTGAACTATTAAAGATACAAAGCGTCCTGGAATAATTCTGACAAGAGTTGTTTGTTTCCATTGTTTTTGAAAGGTATATATAACCAACCTAAAACAGTGAGGATTCGAACCACTACTCCATCGCAAGACTTGCTCCAAAATTCCCTTGTACCACCAAGAGTGGATAGAGTTTGCTCTACCTCTCTGTATGTTCACTTGTGGCCATTCATATATAGTCACTGTTAGAGGGGTCTTACCTACTGCCTTCTCGTGTAGAGGGTGATGTTTACGATATTGAGAAGATGAAAAGTTAGTGTAGGGTGCTTTAACGACGTTGGTTGGTATAGTGTCCACCTAGGGGAGTTGAAAAACCGTGATTCCAAGCCTATGTTGCACACATTCTCCAGGGTCCTGACGGAATGAATGACGAATTAACCTACTGTTGGACACTTGATACCATGGGGCTGTATCTCCTTACATAGCTCCACTGCTTTGTGAATTAGGTTTCAGGTCATAGGTTCGGGGAGTAACCCCTTAAGAAAACCAACTGCTTCAGTTTAGGTGCCCGGGGCAGTATTCTAGCCGACTCACAAATTCAATAATTTGTTAGACATACAAATATTTAGGTGACTTATTTGTACCAATGTTTATGTGCTAAAATAAATAAATAAAATAAACTAGTAACTGTTGGGCAATCGTGTTCATTGAAAAGCGAAGTAACCAAATTCAGATATTTTGAGTTTTCGATACCGTTTATTATTAAGATAGAATATTCACATATTTATGACTTCAATTCAAGTTACTTTTAATGATGTCGAAATTTTCCTTTACTCTGGTGGGCTAACGAGCATTAACTCCTGGTATTCTATAATCAATCTTACCATCAATCCTTTGTGATAAATTCTAGTAGTCTACTTTCGAGGTAGAGTCTGTCATACTGAATTGGCTCAAATTTCAAAACTGTTTCGTGTGCCATATTCTTAAATTGAATGATGGAAACAGAAAAGAAAACAAGATTTCGTTCGGATGAATTGATAAGCACGAAGCTTCCTAACCTAGTCATGTTTTCATAGTATACATACGTCGATGAAAATAATAGTGGCACATTACACCGATAGTCCTTTCGAAATTATTACCCAACATCAGCTTTAAGCGATGTTTTTGCGTTAATATTGATTAAATGTTTTCAACATCACGTTATTAAATATCGATAGCTAACAAAGTCATAGTGGCGGTAATACAAACTAGCATTAAAGATGATATTTTACTTTGTACGATCTGCTTGTTTAATGAAAATTAAGAATGCTGAATCACTTATAGGAAGTTATTTTAATAAATACATTCAGATTGTTATATTTGTGCCTCATTACATTTTCATTTTCACAGCGACTTGGCCAACTGCTACAGCTATTACGTTTACAAGATATGAAATTACAAAATGTTGTCAATCATTCCTCAGCTGTACAAAATTCCGATACTCAATCGACATTGGCTGGTTTACGAGCTAATATAGATTTGTTACAACGTCGATTAAATGGAAAAGATGAAAGTCTTGCAAGAGTGAATGAACTACTCAGGCAAGCTTATGAAGCTAACGAAAAATCAAATGATCGACATAATCAAGAAATTGCTATTTTACAGAATAAAGTAAGTTTAATATGAATACAATTTGATAATTATGATAAATAATTTTGAATTCTACGCCAAATGATTAGAACTAATAATATTAACTGAATTATTCCCTATATAAAGATTATTTGTATCAAGCGAAACCCTACCGTTTTCGCTTAAAATTTCGATATCAATTTGTTAGCGATAACATGAAGCCAATTCATTTCAATAAAACACAATTTCAGTAATAACACATCTTGAACAAGTAAATCTGTTCGTGCTCTATCTCTCATGCTGTATCAGACAATCCCTTAGCAGGTATCTTACAACCACATATTATTAAAGTAAACTCATTATCGTACTGTACAATATCGATTAAGTACCCGCTGGTTATTCGTTGAAAACTAGCATACACTGAACAATTATTCCACCTTGACGTTAACTGATTAATATTCAATACGGTTATCTTAAAGATATAGAGAAGAAAATAGATCTTGACTCATTATTTTGTTGAACCGTATGATGAGTGTTTCCAGACTAGTTCTCAACTTATCAATGAGGTGAGTGAGCTTTCTTACGTCTAAATTTTGTAGGTTTTGATGATAAATCTCGCCGTGAATTAATATATAAACTGAAAAATAGTTGAAAAATCCGGAGACTAATGTTTGTTTCTTTTATGAAGTTTCTATGCATTAACTAGTTAATAAAACGCATTTATCGATTAACGTTTTGCGTTTCTTTCCGATCTGTCAAAGACTATGGAATATCAACTGATACCTGAAGGTGTTGGTTTTCACATTCCTCATGTTTAAATAGACATTCTTTTATGTCTTATAAAACAAAATCACCGTTATCATGCTTTTCTGCTGTTTTTGAACAAATTATGCATACAGTTACAGAACAAAATGGAAGAACAATTATTACGACTAGCACAAAATGTCGAATCTGTTGGCAGAAATGAAATAACCAATTCACATTTGATTGAATTGAAAAAACGTTTACATGAATTGGAAGAATCATTAAATGAACAAAATCAAGCTGTATTTCGTCAAGCGGAACGAACAAAAATCATCCAACAAGAATGTGATTTATGGCAATTGAAATATAATCAACTTCAAGCAAAAACTGAAAGTGTAAAGGCGAATATGGAAAATACACATGGGTAAGGTTTTGCTACATGTAGCAGCTAATTTATAGTTTACTATAAATAGCTGTTGTCTGTTGAATGATAACCTAATCCATATCGGACCTTGGAGTAATGAACATTGAAATTGATTTCGGACTTTTGCTTGTCAGTGATTCATCAACGGATTATTACATGGTGAAATAGTTAATAAATCATCATGTTCTACAAAACAGTCACCGAAATAAACATTTCAAGTGTGAATGGCTTATTTCAATCAAATCGATTGTTGTTTTAAGAAACGTTCTGGTGGATGTTAGTGATCGATTCGTAGGTTATCTTAAACCATCTTCAGCTCCTTAAGCTTCAGGAATTAAAACCTTTCAATTATTTATCCAGTGGTTCTAGGTTTTCAATGGTTATCTAACGCTGACCGGTTCATGTTCTCAATGAAACTTAATCATCTACACAAATCAATATTCATATATATTTCTGCCTAACTAGCTCTGTTCGTAATAAATTCCGGTGATAGATGTTCTTAATAATTTAGGCAACATCATCGTAAAAACTGATTTTTTCTACGATTGAGCAAGAAAATTTTCTCCGCTGAACCACATTCATTCTGTTCAATAACTCGGTGTGCTTCCATCATTTTTTTCACAAAAATTTTCTTTATTACTCAGTGCTTTTTCTCTTTTTTTTTCAAGCGAAGAAGTAATGAAATTGACATCACAAACAGAACAATTACAAAAGGAACTGGATAAAAGTAATGCAAAATTAAATGAATATTATAATGAAGTCAAGCGTTGGAAAGCCGAGGCAAACAAATCCCCATCAGTGATGCAACGCAAACTAACTGAACGGTTACGCAATGATCTGCTTGAAAAAGATAAACAAATCCGAGTAAGGTTCATAGTATTCGTTACGTGGCTGGATAGCAAAGTTTACTCCTTAATTTCTGTCATTAAACGAAGTTAAGGAACGACCCATAATCACTGAATAACCTTTCAACTCTTTTTACACACACACTAAGTTCTTTACTCACTTTCACAACTTCATTCTTCATGATACTTGGATTTATTTTTTAGATCTTTTGATTAAATGAATCATGATCTACAATTTTCTAAACTGTTAATCTACGCCCTACATTACATCGATTTTCGAGGCAATTTTGATGATTCATGATTTGATTTTTTAGTCATAAAGATGAATAAGCAAGTTTTGGAGTGTAGTTTCGTCAACAGTTATACTTCTTGAATAATATCTTAGAACCCTAATCTTCTCGATTACCAGTAATACTTCTACTATATCTACCTACTTCTATGGGATGTGAACTGATAATCACGTCTCTGTGTTAATGTAGTATGACAACCTGAATTGATGTAAGTACGTACGTACAAAGTTATACGTTGTAACTGACTGACTGACTGACATCCCAGTTTTGAATGATTGCCTAAACTAAATCAGTGCATACTGTAAACTACGAAGACTTAATCATCTCAGTAAAGCTCCAATACAATAAATTATAGTCCTGACTAAATGGTGTCGGCTTTAGTGCAATCGCTGATGTATGTCTACAAACTGGACCGTTTTATAAGTCAGTAATTCCTGTGGTGAAAAATGACAGGAATGCTTATTTGTATAATCGATTCCAGCAAGCTATCGTATTGTGATTAGATAATGCACATCGACATGAATAGTCTTTAAATTATGTGACAGTAATTCTATGTACACATTGTTTCTTTTTTCTTACATAAACAAGTTGCATAATACCTTTTATTCAATGTTTGCTTATCAAAGGCTTTGTCCAAAGCACTGGAAGAACTCCGTCATGATCTTGTAGCACAAGCAGAACAAGCAGTTCTAGCTACTAATTCAATGCAGCCAATTCAATGTGCACCATCAGTTCGTGAACTAAACGAAAACAAAACTGTTGATGAAACAATCGTAACACCAACTAACGCAAAGACCATAGAGTCTGTTATCCAACCTCCATCGGTAAAAATGATTCATGAAATGAAAATTCAAGAAGGTAACTGACTGTTTGATCACCAAATTTTAATTTGCTTATCGTAAACTATTTTGTTGGTCTCCTATCGATTTAGAAGTGATATTCAATGATTGTGGAGAATTCTTTATTCGCCAATGTAAAACGTGTGTTCAGAACCATTTCAGTATTTCCCAGTATATTGAACACTGAAAATTTATATTTTTAACGCTACTATGACAAAATCGAAGAAATAATTCAATGTAGAAAAATAAGGACCTTCGGTATTGTGCGCGAACGCCCTAACCGTTAGACCACTGAGCCGGTATCTAACGGTGTTAATGTCTAACTTGATCAAATTCACGGAATTGCGCAACCTCATACCCTGTGTACATCCGAACAGGTTTGAACTTCACTGGTCACGACTTTGATCAAGTTAGACATTAACACCGTTAGATACCGGCTCGGTGGTCTAACGGATAGGGCGCTCGCGCACAATGCCGAAGGTCCTGGGTTCGAATCCTGTGGGGTGCAGGGGTCGTGGATGCGCACTGCTGATGAGTCCCGTACCAGGACGAAACGGCCGTCCAGTGCTTCCAGGTTTCTAATGGTGGTCTAACATTAATCGACTCATGGTTACAAATAAAACCTAACAATCTTCACAACAACCGCGCAACGTAGAAAAATAAGAAAGAAAGTTGTTGTAACGTTAGGTTTTTAGTTTATTTCTGTTTTGGACGACTACAGTCCGGTGTACCCATGACAACTTAATAAAGACTAAAAATTCTACTATGCTTATGTACACTACAAAAAATCTAATCAAAAAAGGGTTTGCACATTATTCCCTTGCATGACCTTCCATTGTCTTGTTCAACGTAGAAAATTTGTCGCCTTTGTATTAGTTAACAGTTAACTTATCGGAACAAATGTCTAGCATTATGACACTAATTATGAGGGTCTGAATTACATATATATAGTTGCACGTCTTTCAATGCATCTCACGGTTATTCTTTTATTATTATGAGTATATTTTGTACCATAAGTTTAGGTTAATCTAAGAGTTTCAAAATGCATTGGCAAATGGAGCAGCAGATTTTCTATTTCGTCCGCAATAAATCTACTCCCATATCAACCCGATCCCTCATAATATCATATTTTTCCTCACCAACGCGCATGGTCTCCATAAGAGTCCAGTAACTAATTTTTTGATAATTAGCCTTTTTCTCTATTTTGCTGCGCCACATACTCGACCTTTGTTGACATCCTAAAATTTTCAAGCCCGTATGAATTCCTTAGCGGTAATGTGCTAAAGTTTGGATTCTTAAAGTTCACCATTGTTCCCATTCGTCCTAGTTCCGTGTTTGTAAGATTACAGGCCATAATGATAATTTGCTATTTCCTGAAATTGTGGTCATAGTTATGTTGTTACGCTTTCTAAAGCATAGCATTTTCAAAAGTACGTTCGTTCAAGTTTATATGCATTGTAAATCATTATTATGTGTATATAGCAAGTAGACAATGCGGCTATCTGTTAACTGGATAAATGTTTAAGGTTGGCTTTGACAATAGTATTATCCGTATTTCATTCTCTTTTTTACCTTTAAGACAAGGAGAAAACTGTCAAGCTCGAAGATTTAAACAAAAAATTGGAATTAGAGTGTGAAAATTTAAATATTCAGCTGCAAAATTTCAAATGTGTAAGTTAACGAATATATATGCAATTTTTTAAACTTCCCTCACTTGATATAGGAAGTCCAAGTACAAGAATGAGTAGACTAATGAGTTGGTACAATAACGAAACCCGATCCTAAAACTCCGTAGTGATATTATCCAAACATTTAACAACAAACAAATTAGCTGTGCCATTCGAACACCTGGCCTAGTGATCAAAATGTAATGTAATGTAACACTGCTAATCAGCGACCGATTAGCGTGTCTTACCAGTATGCAGTCCAATTGGTGTTAAATCACATCAAAGTGTGAATCAGATTCAGAGTTAAAACAAACTTTGCCTTATCGATCAACTACTAGGAACGTCAAGAGTTTACTCTTTTTATCAGTGTGTATCTAACATCTATCATAGCCATATAGTTCAGCCATTAGATTATTATTAACTAACATAAGCGAACAATATTGTTTTCAATTAGATCGTCAATAAGCTTTACGTTAATACACATGAACATCTGTATAAAAATATTCAACCAATCAAGGCAATTTATGAGTCAATAACCAAAATGGAATAGATTACATAACTGCACGTAAAATAGGTAAAAGTACATACTGTTCGTAGGAAACACAGGTAACTAATCGTGTCAAGAATCATAAAATAACAAAAGTTCTAGTCAATAATTCCGCATTGGAAATAGTCGGTCAAACTTAGGTAAATAGAATTAAGTGATAATTATTTTGGTGAAGAATATTAATCGAAGAAGTGAAAAATGCCATACAAATACGGGTTGTGAAAAAATTAATAAAATCGGCTATTAAATCAGATTCGATGAAGGATGGAATTAGGATGTCACAAGTCTCTCCTGACACATTTAAACTAGGATTATAATTTCGAATCCCGACAGCTTCTGCTATATGTAGGAGCCAGGGATCAAAACCTATTAAGAAATAACAAAGGTATTTAATAAATCACTAGAAATTACTCAGTTTTACCAACCATATTATCACTGTCAACCAGATGTGGCAGTATACAGCTGTGTGTTGTCTTTCCATGGCTCTCTTCAAACTAAGCTGGTAGATGTCCACTCATTTTTCGGTTAAGTTGCCTGTTAGTATTCCTATCTTTCCTCGAGGGAGCAGTTGACCTTCTAGCACAAAAACTAAAAGATGCTTCCAAAAACTGATGTGTTTTCGATAACTTTGTTTAGATATTCAGGGATATAATTGACAGGTAAAACCATCCCGTACAATCACTTACTTGAAAAGTGTGTTTCAAAAATAGTCATCAAGCTAAAGTGATCATATTCATAGATTACAATGCTACAAAAGGCAATTAATCATCTGGGCAGATCAGCCCCTTCATGTAGACAAACTTTAAAGAATTTCACATTTTCTTCGGTTAATGTTTTAATATATAAAGTGAAAGCTTCACAATCACATTATTATAATTCAGAAAATGTTATTTCATCACTATAACTATTGCATACTGTGAAGACAGAATAATCAATAATCGGATTCGTCTCGCTTTCAGAATATGAACTTACATTTTGTTTTACTCGGTAAATAGTATCGTGCAGCATACTGCACCGTAAGTTATGATTTGCATTTACGATCGAACTTCACTAATCATTAGGCCAACATGCATGATTAATATATCAAGTTGTGGCTACTTTCATTTTGATGAACGGTCGGTTGTAATAGTTGCCTAGTGTATTCTGTTATAACTTGTAAAAATATATAGTTGTCGGTTTTGTTTTGCTGTGTGCAACTTAAGTATACGTTCAGACATTCCAAAAATAAGGAAAACTGTTGAGCACATTCAGAAATTAACGACTACTAAATAGAACAAAGGCTCTTCAAGTTGGTTCCAGCAGGACTCATCAATCAATCATTGTTAGACCACCATTAGAAACCTGGAAGCACTGGACGGCCGTTTCGTCCTGGTATCGGACTCGTCAGCAGTGCGCATCCACGATTCCTGCACCTCGCACACTGCTGACGAGTCTGATACCAGGACGAAACGGCCGTCCAGTGCTTCCAGGTTTCTAATGGTGGTCTAACAATGATTGATTGATGATTTCGAATGTGTAAAAACACAAACCTCCAAAACTCTGCCCGAAAATATCCAGCAGGACTACCTACACATGCAAAAACGAAAGAATAATAACTATGGAATCAAACGTGTAAATTGTTTACCGGTTTTGTTACATATTTTCTCTTTTCTCCTTGTTGTTTACTCTGAATATATCGGTAACTGCTTTCGGAAGCAATAAAATTGGGCTAAGGTTGGGCCATACACAGTCGTACTTCTAGCACTACATATAATATGTAAGATACTATCGTCTGAAATAGATGAATGTTTTTATCTTATCAGATAAACAACTTCCGTCTTTTTTGTTTCATGTTTATGACTTGAAGATAATGTTCCCCAGCAACTGATGTCATCTAGGGTAATTTTGAAAACCAGATGACAGTGAACGTTGATAATAAATTCAACAGGCGTCTATTGCTATTTAGTTTCCGCCATAGTTCTAATCGGTAGATACAAGATGTCACGTCTTGTAAACGATTTGAGCAGTAACTAAGTATATTTGGGACGCTTTTTTATCTCTCTAGATTCAAAATGCCTCTTTAAACTTGATTCGCGCCAAATCCATAACTAATGTTGGGGTGTAAACTAGTTGAGAAGGTTGACCATACCAATTAATCTAGAGTTCTCTTCAGCCCTGGTGGGTTGGTATCTGACAGAAACTCGGATTCGGATAGCTCGTTTCACCTTTTCAACCTTGTGTAACTTGTGACGTAGGTGAAATGTTTGCATACACACCATATGATTTTGTGATAACAAGTACACTCTGTATTACTGTTTGTCTGTGAAACATGATCTTAGAATGTTTACAGTGCATGTCCTTGATCATGCGTGCTTTCGAAAATTAGATTCAAATAAACATCATTGTACTTAACAGTAACATAAACATTGAAATTCCAATAATTCTACCATGATTTTTATTTAAGCTGTTGAATACGTCACAGAAAAAAATTGATGAACTTTTAAGGAAAAATCGTATACTTGAAGAAGAAAATCATAGACTTCGTATGATACCAGAAAAACCATATCAAGAAATCAATAAAAGTAATAAGGTATGTTGTAATCCTATATTTTTTCGATTACACTTTTTCACTACACATATACGTCATGGATATTTTAGTATGTTTGATTGTGCAATAACGTATAACTATATTTGTAGACAATAGACAGTATTTCAATTATTTAGTTAAGTTTTAGGAATATTATTAATTCAAACTAGCATAAAACTATAAAATAAAGGTTACCTTACGAGATAACTTTTAATCAACTTAATTTTCTCTGTTAGATAACAAAGACTAATTGAAATCGACTAATAAAAAGTTCACTTATTGAGGGTTCCGAATGGGGACTCGTCTTGTGACGCGGTTGGGTGCTTTCCGCAATGCGTCTCCTATCCACCAACTCCAGCACTTCTTCCTGATACCCTCCTCCAATGGAATCTCGTTTGTTCTCTCCTACAGTAGGTTGCTGCTGATGGTTTCTGTCCAGTGAATCCGAAGAATATTTGCGCAGACAACTGTTGATGAATACTTGTATCTTCTGGATGACGGGTTTGGTAGCTTGAAATGATATCCAAAGGTCTCTGGAAACAGCAGTGAAATCTGCTAGTAAGGTAAAAAATAAGGTTAAGGAGAAACAGTGGGCTTCAGTAGTTTCTGCCGAACTGATAGATGCTCGGAAACTCATCCCGTCTGGCTTTGAACGGGAGCGAATCCAGCTTTGGCATAGGCTGATGAAAAGCCTACGCAATGAACGTGAACAGTAGTAAGTAGCGAAAGCAAGAGCGATGGAACAGGCAGCGGTAATAGGTATCAGTAGACAACTGCCTAGACGTATCAAAGAAACCGATATTAGGAATCAGACTGTGAGGCTACTTCGGAAATGGATGTGACTATCATTCATTACCAATCAAGGAGATTGAATCCATCGGCAGAACACATTTGGGTTCACTTCATTTGGGCCTCACCCACATTTTACTTATCTCCAGTCAACCTGAATGGCTAGTTGATGTAGGTCCAGCAACTCTTTGCAAAGCAGAATAAACTATAGGAAATCTAAGGTGGAGAACGGCGAGCCCCGATGCATTGACGCATGAGATTTTCAAGAATGGTGGTCCAGCTAGATTGACTGAGAACTTAGGTAGAATCTGGGAACTGAAGGTAATCCCATCTGACCGGTCCCAATCCTTGATTGTCCCAATTTCTAAGGACAAAAATCCTCTCGTGAAAATCACAGGAATCCGTTTAACTAATATAGTATCTAAATTGTTAGCCTTGATAATGCTTCGACACCTAATTAGAGCTCGTGAAGAGCAAACTCGAGGAAACCACGCTGGCATCAGACCTGTTCGTGGCTGTATAGATCTCATTTTCACACTTCGTCAGGTCCTGGAACACAGACGCTCATTGCGACGTCCCACTATAGTTGTGTTCTTGAACCTTAAAGCAGCACTCTATCGATCGTAAGATTCTGTGGCAATGTCTGTTACCAAAAGAAGTAATATAGAATTTCATCAACCTTACATACGCTCTCTACTCGAACACCACTGGTCAAGTTAGAACTTATGCCGAACAGTCATCGGAATTCATCACTTCAAGTGGTGTCCGAAAGGACTGTCCACTTTCTCCTTACTTGTTTAACTTTGTCGTAGACGTGCTTTTAGAGATGACATTATCTTCGCCTGAATTTTCAGGGCTGGACCTTCAACCAGAAGACACGCTCGTTGACTTAGAGTATGCTGAGGAACTACTCCTACTTGATGAAGATGCTGACAAAGTACTGAGTCTACTAACTGCACACTGGTTCGTTCCTCGATCATAACTGTCTTCGAAGCATTACTCGTTTATCTTGAGACTGTCAAGTAAGCGATGCTATTGTTAGGAAACGGGTATTAGGTAAGGATTACAGATCAATAAACGAATTATTGAACCGTCGTCAGTTTAGGTGGTTGGGATACGTGTTACGAATGCCCAACCGTCAACTACCTCGTCGAGCTATGTTTTGTGGTGTAGGAGTAGGTTGGAAGAAAGCTAGAGGCGGCCAAACCAAAACATGACACAAATCCATAAAGTCACTGACAGCTGGATTGAGTGGTGTTGGTGTGTGTAGACCACCTGATTGAGGTCCGCAAGATGATAGTAATTGATGGTTAGAGACCTTGAATGACATGGCTCAAAATCGTTCGCAATGGCGCCGGTGCATTTATTCTTTGTGTTCTCTCAAATCCTATTCTTCTGGATTCTTCAACACCTCTGGTTTTGACTTTCTAAACTTTTCTCATTGAATCATACTTCCTGAATAATATCTTCTAATCCTAACCTCTTCGATTACTTCTGATACCTTTACTACCTCTTCTACTATTGGATTTGAATCGACAATTACATCTCTGTGCTGATGTGGTATAGTAACTTGAAATGATGTATGTACAGACGAAGTTCTACTTTGTAACTGACTAACTGCACTTGTAGGACTCATTCGTGGAATAAGGTTTCCCAAAGTTTAGTTTCATGAAAACTGATAGTAGCTCCACAAAATTTCTAAGCGTAAATTCACTTTTGAATACAAAATACTGATTAGCTTTATTACTTCATAATATTTCTGATACAGTATTTATATATGTATATATCTTCATGCCTCTTCGAATATTTCTAATTTAGGAAGCACAAATGTCATCGGCTATGCGTTCCAGCTTGACCAATGAATGGGAAGCACGTAAACGTATGGAAGCTGAGATAAATAAATTAAAAGAGCAACTAAATAAAAAATGTACAGAATTGACATCCATACAAAAACAATTGAATCTAACTAAGAATGCACTTGATCGAACTAACAAGTTAGAAATAGAATTTCTTTATTTTTTTTTTTAATTTTAAGTACTTGGAGTAACATAACATTATTGTTTGAAACTTTAGTCAAAAAGTTACTTAATCTTTGAGATGGTGAGGAAAATTTGTAGCTCATGTGGATGATTGTGACGGACTTTCGTTCTCTGAGCTGGATGTTTCGGTTGTGGAGCTTTCATCGTTTTTTCTTTGAATGGCATCAGCACAAATTTTAGGTACAAATGAAGTATCCAAATTTCTCGACGTATAACTTGTGGATTGTTTTGTTAACCTCGATCATGATTGGTTGTCATTGTCCTTAAACCTGTCGTTGTCTGTGCCTTTGTTTTAGTTGTATCCCATTTTGATCTGTTTTTTGACCCAGTGTTTGTCTAGGATTTTTCTGATTGGTTGATAAATTGGGTCAATATCTATGTGTTTGCTGATTGATGATTGAGGTGTGTGGCAAGCCTCTAGAAATTCCCTAGTATTCTTCATACTCCACCTAACCAATATTTCAACATGGTTTCAGTCGAATGTATGTCCATAGTTGTTAGTATACACTGATATAAGGGAAGAAATATCATGACGTCTGATGGCTGAGAGAAAGGATCGCCACCATAATTACCTAGTCTTTGTTACATAAAATTACATTGTTTGGAGGTCATCAGTCTTACTTTTTGATAGACAATTTTAAAAAAATGACGTCAAACACTAATTTATATTTTGTTTATGTTACGCATAAAGTTTCTCCATTAATTTGTTTGAAAAAATAGGCTTATAAAGGATACGGTTTGCTATGTAAGTCATAGCAATGTATGATAATGAATTTACGTCTGTTACCTTTCGTGCAGCATAGGCTGCCCACCAGGATTTATCAGCAAATTCTGTCATCGGCCTTTCTTTCCTGTTCCTTGTTTTCTTGTCTAACTTCAGTTCTCGGTGCAATGTGTCTGCCTCTTTTTCCTTGGCTTTGAGGATTCCGAGTTCTATCCTATCATTTTCTCATTTAGAAGCTGGTGTGTTCTCAATTATGGTATGTTGTTCTAGATTGTTGTTGCAGTCACGATAGTTTGGTGTCTGACCTACGGATCTGAAGTATCTTGCCCAGATAACTGTTTATAAATAACTGTATCTTTTACATGATGGCTTTCGTTATTCCCCAACTTTTAGCTCCATACAATAGAACTCTGTCTTGATACTTGTATTGAAAATTCTGAATTTTGTGTTAACTGACGGTCTTTTTTTGAGTTTAGTATGTTCTTCAGTTGTGGGTATGCTACCCTTGCTTCACATTTGCATCAGATCCCATTTGCTTATCATTAGTGTTGCCGTTAATAAAGACTGAAGGCTTTTTAAATGATGGGTGATTGAAATAGACCATTCATATAGATATCTGTCTATCCGAATAGTTTTGAAGCTTTATCATTCTTATAACATCATCCAAAATCAATGGGCTTGGATTTTCTGTGGCGTATGACAAACTAATTTTAGTGCTGGTAGCATTTTGTTTCAGTGCCTTAGTTCTTCTATCTATTAACTAAGCGATATCATGGTAAATTCTCATTGAAGAGGTTATGATCAAGTCAGTCGCAATGAGAAAGCATAGTATAAAGCTTTGTATTGATGCGACTGTTAAAGGACAGTATACTAATTATTCATCGTAAACTGAAAGCTAGTTGAAATATTTTATAGAGAAGTTTTCATTTCTTAGTTTGTGTTTTAATTCAGTGTTTCTTTTAAACTGGTAACTGACAGAGTAAGTTGGTTATTTAGCTCTTCTAGCATCCAACAACACTGCATCAATCGGTTATTTCACACAGATTACTGCAACACTAAATTAAAAGGGTTTGAACTTGTCTGAAATCCAATAAATTTCAACGTTCTATATACAGTGTTAGATAACGTTTTACAAAACGCTACATTTCTTGACCAAGTAGTGACAGCTAAGCGTCTCTGTGCTAATGTGATATGGCAACCTGAACTGATGTACTTACGTACGAAGTTCTACGTTTCATCTGATTGACTGACTGACAGCTAAACCATTTCCTTGACTATACGACACGTTCAACTAAAGTCATGTGACTTCGGTGCCAGTATTTATAGTTATTTTGAAAATTTCCAGACGTATAGATACATGACATATTTTGGAAAATTTGTTTAATATGTTGAATTCCAAAACAATAAATGCAATTCCGTTAACTGGTAAGTTTGAATTTAGTTAACTCGTGATCTCTATATATTTATTCTTCAGTGTGATATTAATCTCTATCATTATATAACTGTATAAACAGGCATTAAAGTTGGTATTCAGTAAATCAAATTTACCTACCTTATGTCCGAACCATAAACTTTCAATAAATCAATTTTTCAATTACTTGGTTTACGTTTTTACTTTCTAAGACAAAATGAACAGCTAAGAGAGAAAGTCAATGAAGTTTGGGGTCCAGGTGCTACAGCTGATGAGTCAACTGATACTAAAACGGAGCAAAATAAAAAAGAAACTCTCAGTCGGTCGTCAATATCATGTGTTTCTGAACGTGTTGAACTACACCAACAAGTAGAACAATTGCAATCTGAAGTTGAAAGACTTCGACGAGCACAAAGAATATCTGCAGGTTTCCCACCTGGAACAAAATCAATGAATACAGAAGCCATGTTGATAAAAGTGAGCTTCATCATGTGTTTGTATCAGAATGTATCATAACGAATTATCTTCTTTGATATTGATTGTTTCAAACAAAAGTACAGATTTGAATAATGGAATTTTCAACATACATTTTGATGAAGGCTACTTAAAGACCCTCTAGTTATTCAAGGTCAGGTAGATTGAATAATGTTCAATCTTGATAACGATGATCAGAATGTCAAGATGTCTTAGCAAATATGTCAGTGCTGTGGGCATAAACTACCAAAAAATTAATTACTTTTATGAGAATAGAATGATCTACGTCTGACAATCGTACAAAGCAGGAAAGCATTGAAAATCTGGTCAAACGTAGTTTTGAGGCTGTTCATCCACGGTTCCATTGGAGATCGAACTTGAAATCTTCATTGTCTAGATGTGCCAGATTAACACTTACTAGGATGAAAGAACTGCTTTGTGACACCTGGTTTTCAATAGTTGTCTAACGTACTTTGGTTCGTCATTTCACTAACATTCAACAATCTTCATCGAATCCCGTGCTAAACTGGTCGAATATTAGTGTGTTTGAAGATTTTTCAGTGACTGATATCCAAAAGTTTAAACTTTGAGTTAAAAAAACTGTTTTCGAAGATCCTCAACTCAAAATGCATTCAAACTAATAAATTCAACTAGTTTTTGTTCCACTAAAGTAACTTGGGCCTATATATGTTAACAATACAGTTCTACGTATTAATTAAAATGAAAAGTAAGTTCTTGATAATACAAACTAGTTAAAGATGTGGTCAAACTTCTTTTTCGAATAAATTTTCTTTTAAGTCTTTAGAGATTACTAAAGGAACCACTAAAGTCATAAAACACTCACTATGTCCAGATGCTCAATCAAATATTTTTTACATAATTAATGGCTAATGACATTTTGTATTCATCTAAACTGATTACTTAAAATTTCGTTATTTTACAATTATATCTATTCCTAAATCATGTGTAAAAAGCAATACTAATAATACTAATAATATTTTAGACTTCTGTGATGATCTTGAATGAGTAATGTGACATTGAAATGATGTCTGATTGTATTTACTTCAGCCAAGCTTTTTTAACTATTTGGATATGTGAATGACAGGACTGTACATATTCATATATCCACTCAGTCAGTTGAGCTATGATTGTTTCTTATTTCATTTCGCTAGCCGGTATCCATGAACTGTTTCTGTGAACAAATCAACAGTTCTGTTTTCTCAATTAATTTGGCGTTTTATCTAGTCGATCGAAACCTCAATATGCACTCAAACGAAAATCTTCCTAGATTAGAATTTTCATACATTCCAATAAATTAAGTGAATAATTTCCCTTTATCTTGTTCACCTCTAATATAAAAAAAAGTGTTTTCAACTAAGTTGAGTTTAAATTTTCATTATCATATTACGATACTTATTGAAAGATGTTTTTACCAGTATTCACCGACTTCTATAGAATTTACTACGAAATCATTTAAAACCAGGCACTTCATTTCTATAAAATACAACAACCATTAAATAACTTAAATTCTATTTGTCTGTCCCTATTGGTCAATTTCATGGTCGTCCTAAATATCAATGTCACAGACTTCGATTCTGTTTCCTATTTGAGTTAAATGTATAATTACGCATTATCTGTAACGTTTTATGACCCGGACCCGGATCCCTAGTCCGGGATCCTGATTCTCTACTGGACTCGGGACCTCGTACTTTCTGGATGTTTTGTAGAATACAGGTTCTGCTTCACATCATATCTTCTTCTTTTACTCAATGGGGGGGGGGGTTGGGACAATTGGATTAGAGCAGTCTGTCGTGTCGCCGGATCCTCGATCCTCGTTCTCATTTTCCGACTAAGGTAAACTCGTAATAGTTGCTGGCGTATCGACTGACGTGTTGACATGTATTCATAACAGTTTCCAAGCAACTCTAAAATACGAACACAAATGAACTAGTTAGTAGATTTCATGCATTAATCATCGACGTAGATTTTTCTAAAATATCATATTCCCAGGATACATTCAACATTAGCATCTTGCAAACTTGTTCTATGATGTAATTCATGTTTCATGTGATGGATTTTATTCTCCTAACAAAACACCAATACTCCTAGTTCCATTAGATTAGTCTATTTCTGCTAAAACACTTATTATCGGTCAATAATACTGTGAGTATGTATTCAACACTAATGAAGGTTCCATTTAGTTTCAGTTTTTTTAAGATTATTTTCGCATTTCAATGTTTATTTACATTGACTGATGTCATTTTTATATTTTCAAATATGTAACAGAAAGTATTTACTAATGAAACTGACGCAATATCAGCAGTCATTTAATGATTGGGTATTTTTATATTTAAAAAAAAACATTAGTCCAACACTGATTTATGGACAGATTTATTTTGATTTCAATCAAACAACTCTCCTTCATAACATAACGTTTGTCTACATCATTTACTGCCTAAAACACACACACACTGGAAAGTTACTGCGCCGTTTCCATTTCTTGTTAAATCCCCTATGTTTTAGTGTACACCTTTAATATTTGACTTGAAAATTGTTCACTGTTTACTTGAAGTGTTTTTTTTTGCTGCTTCTAAAATTAGCGTTCAGCATGACTACAGTGCCAAATAAATCTAAGTGCGCAGCAAGATTATTTGTTGCATATTTTCATGCCACTTTTTTTTAAATATTGATCTTGACTGTTTTTTTATCATAGAGAGCATAACTATAATCACTACGATGTTACAACCGGTTTAGTCGTTCAGCGCAGGCTTAATGGTCAAAGCGTTCAGCTTGCACCTACTAAATCTCAGATTAAAGCCCAAGCTGATCTAATTCATTTCGAGAAATTCGGTAGTATCATTAGCCTTTGCGGTTAGAATGTGATCCATACTTTGATGAATGAGCTGATTATCCTCATAGTGGATTTGGTTCTAGGGAATTTTAACACTTTATACCTCATAGCGTCGGATTAGTTTTTGTTTTCTGACCCATAGGTACATTAAATTTACTTGTCTTAATACAAAAGTCTAGTTGAGATTATTAGTTGGACAAACAAAAGACTATGAGATAGAATCTCGGAAATACATAGACATGAAATTTAAATGATAAATAATGAATCATATCAACTGCAACTAGTATTTTGAAAAATCCTTTAACCCACTGCAAATTAATAGTCAAATTAGGCTCTTTGTTACTACGCCTCTTGATTGGCTATTTTTTTACATGCTGAAACTTATTGGCATCTAGTGACAACAAACTCTGAACAGTTATATTTCACATGCGATAATACAACTAACTTTCATTGCCTTCAAAGTTTTGAATCACAGTAGTAAACGCTTGGTTGAAATGATCAATTATCTTGGATGACTAGCTACTATAAACTAGAAGTAAATGATAGATTACACATGGACATACCTTTCAATCAAGTAAGTGATTTTTTAATTTTCAAACACTCCCAATCGTCAAATTTATTATTATTAAATTTTTTATGTATTTTTCAACCGTCCTATGTTCTAAGAGCGCAGAGATGCGTAACAAACTTTTATCTGAACGTATAGACGATTTGGAGAAACAGTTATTAGACAAAGGTATGGTTAGTCCAGCGAAAATGCAATTGGAACAAGCAACTCAACGTGATCTATTACGGCTTAATAATGAAAATATGGAATTGAAATTCGAATTGGAAACATTGAGATCCGATGCAGCACGTTATAAAGTAGGTTGTCATTCTGCTTTTTTTGTCTTTCATGTGATTGTAAGAACTGTTACGTCAAATTTATTGAAGAATCAAAATTTCATTTGCTAGGTTTGATCAATATTATCTTAATAATTGAATATGAAAACTGAGCAATTCGTAAGACAAGGTTATTGTTCATTTGACAGAAAAACAATTTTATTTTTGATATAAGATCGTAACACTTCACACATATGTTGTACTTTTATCATTGTTGAGCTTGTATGCGCATGTACGCTTGGGCATTACTTGCCACCTACACATATAGTTATTTAACTAGCTTTATCGATCAACAGTTTGAATAATTCGATGTCAATTTCGACAATACATATTTGAATTAAATCCGATATTTGTACCGATCATTAAATAATTTGAATAATAAAGGAATTGTGGCAACGACTCGTGTTCTCTCGTAGAGATCATCAAGACGGAGATATACGGAACTTCGAAGATAACGAACGTCCAACGCCACAAGATCACTGAATAGGACTAAAATTACCAAGTTTAACTGTCTTTACATATACAACGACCTACTTCCTTAATTTGATAAGCGAATATATTATTTCTTAATAAAATCTTAGAAATTTTAAGCGATTTTGTCTAGGTGACTATGGTTTTCATCTAAATAAATGATTGGTTTCGTATTCCGGTTCGTTCTATGAAATAATATTCAATAGGTTCAAACTGAAGTCATGTTCTTGACTTTGGAACCTTTCTGAATCTGTTAAATATAGACACGTAGTACAACACTTTTATCACAAGTATGATACTGGATCTCAACGCATGCATTTCGGTTGCGTAAAGATGCTTTACTTAGAGTTGCAGATAGCTGCATGCATTTGTATATACGCTTCTCAGAATTGATTCTGCATCAGTCGAAATCACAATCAAAAGAATACCGCATGAATCTTATACTATGTACCTTTGAATGGTGTTTATTGTATAAATTCAAGTTTAATTATTCCTGTTTGATCACCTTGATTCACATTAATGTTTTTTTTCAATTCGTTTTCGTTTTTTGTAGACTCGAGTTCATGACTTACAAATTTATGTTGATTTACTGAAACAAGAAAAAGAAGCATTGCGTGCAGGACAAAATCTTGACAAATCATTTAATTCCGACAGTAGTACAATGAGTACAATAAAAAGAGTGAGTTTACCGTGATAATACCTGTAATAAAACAATGGGATTTCCGAGTTCTACTAATTAATTGCTAAAAAATACCATATCTGCTTCTCTGTCTAAAGTCAGCAAGCCCTCCCTAAAGTAACGCCCTTTTCACAATTTTAATTTATGTTATCCTGCATAACAGTAGGAGGTATTGCACCTTACCTATTTCGACGAAAACTAGTTATCAGCACAATTAAATAATGATGTACATGAAACTCACATTACTGTTTTCGTCACAGAGAATAACATATTTATATTCATCCATAGCTTCACTACATAATTTTTAAATTATCTTCTGTAATCGTAAATGAAATATGATTTATTTTAGTCTGTAATTTTGAACAATTTGAATCTGACTTGTTTGTTTGATTTTTAGTAAAATTATTTTGGTTCACCTCAGTTCACATTTTAGTCCAACCGTTTTTGTCCAACAGAATTTGTTGATATTGACAAAAACTTTTCCCACGAACACTGAATTGATACTGACGTCATTAGTTTTGAGGTCAGGCATAAGTGACTAGCGTTTTTACCGATTCTTGACCGATTGTTTGTTAAGACGAATAGTGAAAGACAGTTATTTCGATCCATGAATGAATACACTGTAGTACTCATTTAAAAATACACTTTATTGATTATCTCGAAATCATTTTTGGGAATAAATTAAAAGTTATATCCAAAATTTTACACTGAATAAAAAGACTTTCTGACATTATATTGGTTTAATATTATCCTCGAAATGTATATGTAATAATCACTAATGCCTGAATCATTTAATCATTGCGGTTCAACTGTGTAGTTGACGTTTTATGGGGACAAAAAATATGTTTCTCTAACATCATTTATTAACTTGTACTGAGTTAGTGAATATTGTTAAAAGTCTCCTTTTTGGAACGAACTATTATTAAGTGGCGGCAACCTCTAGTTGAATATGAGAAATTTTGCGATGAATAAACATGCTGCTTAAGTGAACAAACGATGATCTGATGGTCTTTTCCTCTTATGCAGAGAGTTGTACATCATTTCAAACTCACTAAGAATTTACAAATAAACGGTTACCATGCTCAGCTGAATACTTATTTTCACAACAATTACTAGATCTAGTTACATTGTATTCAAAATTCTTCAAAGCTATTTAAATGAGAAAAATATCTCAGTTAACCGATATATCACTCATAGAAAGCTTATAAGTCAGATTGTCAAAGCAAAGCAACCACATCAATTCTTGACAAGTAACAACATTGATAAATAATGAAAGTTTACACGACAGTATTGTAAAGATGGCTAAAAGCAAGCATTAAACTGGAACTTTTGAATTGACAGCGACCAGTATCATTCATTGATATCGATTTCGTTTCACAGTTGAATATTTACGTGATATATATACATACATTTAACAGAGCAGTACATTTGTTGAAAAGATGAATACGATGGTATTGTGGTGTGAGCTACTTATAAGTAGTATATGACGTGAGTGTCAACGTAATGTCTGGCAGAAGAAGATGGGGGAGGATCAAGAAAGGAAGAGTTAGAAAACAATGGAATTTGTATGAAACGCATGAATAGTGACAATGGATTGATGTTTTGCAACAGGAACAGTTCAGTTCGGTATGATGAACTAAAAATTTGCAAATTAACGATTTACGATATGGTTTTCCGATTTTACTGAGAAACTCTGTAGTTTTCGTTAAATACGATCAGGTTGCCCCACCTGTGTTCTCCTTCACTACAGTATGATTGTTACAAAGATAAGTACTGATGTGACTGAAAGTTTCGACATATTGCATTGATTAGGCGATGTTCGTTCATCTGATGAACTGGCTGACTTATCTACTAACAAAATAACACTTGACGTTCAACTCAGGAGAATTTGAAGATGAATCAGAAAGAAATGTTATTATTCATGGATAAAATGAAATCCAGTAAATAATCTATACATTTTTGTCCTCAAGTGAATAAATAGATTTTATTAACTAACCATCATGGATACACAAATAAAATCAAACAGACAACCTTAATCAGTGTATCCCTGTGTACAAACTCTCTAGGATTCGAAGTTAAAGATCGAATAGTTCAGCAAGAAAAGTCAAATGGAGCGAAATAATAATTTAGTAAAAGTATTTACAGTGATCAGAGTAGAAAAAACATATGAAATGAATGAAATTAATCAATGAAAGCTTTTCGGTAATGGTAAGTTACTTTCATAAATCTTGACCATAAGTGAATGAACATGCACCTTATGTTACGAATTTAAAATCAGTTGATTCAAACTCACCAATCTACATCAACTTCATTGACTACCATAAAGTAACTGACAGCGTGGACAGGACAACGTTACGGAGGCTTCTCTGACACTATGGCGTGCCTGAGAAAATAGTGAACATCATACGGAAGGACACGGAGGACAGCTGGCAGACTCTCTCGAGGTGAAGACCGATGTCAGACAAGGTTGCTTACTCTCACCCTTTCTCTTTCTCCTGATGATCAACTGAATTATGAAGACGACAACATCTGAAGGGAAGCACAGTATACAGTGGAAGGCCAGAATGCAACTAGAAGATCTGGACTTAGCAGATTATCTGGCCCTTCTATCGCACACGCAACAACAGATTCACGAGAAGACGACCACTGTAGCAGCAGCCTCAACATACATTAAGGGGAAATCAAGAGTCTCCGATACAAAACAACACGCGCCAACCAAATCACTTGTATATCTTAGAGAACTCAAAATCCTTTCCATGTCTGGGGAGCATCTTTGACGAGCAAGGTGGGTCTGATGCAGATGTGAGGACACGGATCGGAAAGCGTTGGCTACATTTCTACGGGTGAAGAACATCTGCAGTGGATAGCCAGGATACAGCTGAACGATCTGCACTTCACAGATGATCTGGCTCTGTTATCGCACGTACAACAACAAATGCAAGAGAAGAAGACGAGAATAGCAGCAGCCTCAGCTACAGCAGGTCTCAACACACATGAAGGGTAAGCAAGATTCTCCGATACAACACAACACGCGCCAACCAAACCACACTTGATGGAGTTTCCTTCTAGAATTGTACAACATCTGGAACTACAAACAACTATCAATCAACATCAATATCAGAATATTCAATACAAATGTCAAGACAGTTCTACTGTATGCGGGGGGGGGAACTTGTAAAACTACCATAGCCATCATCCGGAAGTATTTATTAACAGTTGTCTACGCCAGACATCATCGGCAACAACCTACTGTCAGAGAGAACAAACCAGATTCCATTGGAGGAAGAAATCCGGAAGAAACTCTGGGAGTGTATAGGACACACATTGAGGAAATCATCCAACTGCATGACAAGAAAAGCCCTCCCTTGGAACCCCGCAAGGTAGAAGGAAAAGATGAAGGTCAGGAAATAAATTACGTCCAAAAATACAGGAAGATATGAGAAGAATGAACAAAAATTGGACAGAACTGGAAAGGGAAGCTCAGGATAGAGTAGGTTGGAGAATAGTGGCTGGCGGCCTATGCTCCATTGGGGTAACAGAAGTAAACAAGGAAAGTAAGGGTTTTTGATCAAACAGCATGATGACGTTCATCTAAATGATGATCACTTAATAGTCTAATAGTAGGACGAAACAAATATCCAGTTATATCCTAGTTATCGATGGTTGTCTAGCTAAGGTCAGATAGTGAGTGATTTAACCAATCAAAATCCCACAATCTCCACAAAATACCTTATAATAAAATCAAACTATGAGTTCAAATGGTTTCAATATCCAACTAACAGATTTAAAAGAAACTTAAACGTAGAAATAATAAGAAATTAGAATACAGTTCATTCTCTATATTATATGCAGTGGAGTTATAATTTTAAAACCGATATCTTATTCGAATTTTTGATTATAATAATGCCCAAGAGCACAAACGTAACATGTACTGTTGTGACTAATTTTTTTACCATTCGATTTTCATTTGTTATTTTAAAAACGTTTAAATCCGTGTTCATTTTGTTCCGTTTTCAGTGTGAACTGATTTGTTAAGCTTAATGTACGTAATCACCTTAATACTACACCATTTGAATTTAAATTTGCTGAATTTTATTATCCGAAATGTCAAAAATTCATTTCAATTTTTCTACCACTCAATTCTTTAAGTAATCACTTATTGTATACGTTAATGTCGTCAGCGATTTGTATTATTGTGTCACTGGTTAGTCATTTCAGCTTGTACCAACAGTCAATTTCATATCTTGTAGTTTAACATTGTTCACTAAACTCACGCGTGACTATTCTTTTGAATATTTGATAAAAAGCTTAGAACTAATGAAAATTCTAAAAGTGTATTTAGACAGAAAATTTTTCCAGTCATTTATCCGTTTGTCTTTTTCATGTGATAAGAATGTGTCCATCGATTTTAAAAAAATCTAAGTATTTATTAATTTTCATTGTAAGATTATTTCATCCGTATTTCTACTCCCGTTGGTGTTCATTACGATTAGACTGCTATGCTTGACCAGATAACCATGTATTTATTTAAGCTAATGATTACTGAATTCAGTAGTATTAACAAAATCATCCTGATTAGTAGTGTAATGGACACCTAAATATCGAACAATACCGTTCCAGGCAATATACATATTTTAAGGTACATTCTTTGTTTTATCATTCATGAGTTTTTATTACGTTTTGACAAGGCGCTTTTCTAAAGTGAATTAAGATGTAAAACGATAAGGTTGATAGATATTTGAAGTATAAAAACCTGTTTATATGCAGGTATACACAAATTAGATTAAATTCATAAGATGAAAATGACCTCTTTTTCAGAAAATAAAGGTCCATTTATGTTAGAGCTTAACCTTCATTTTTGACCTTTAAATTACCATGGTTACTTTCATTGAGATTTTACATATGATATAGAACATATGATCTACAGCATTGAAAAACATATTTAATCGGATTGCTATTTTTCATTGTTGGAAAGTTTCCAGATTTCGTAATGTTCTGTT